TTTGATGAATTTTTTATTATTTTTCTTTTGTCCATTAATAAAAAACTTGTTATTAGTTCTAGCTTAAAAGAAATCAATGAGATGAAGCACTAATTTTCTAACGAATTTAAATGAAAGACTTAAGACCTTTAAAGTAAATACATAGCATAAGAATCACTAAAGATAAAATAGAAGGAATTCTAAACCTATTTTAAGAGAGATATATAAAAAAATTGAGCATGTTAAAACTTTATGATGCAAAGTCCAAAAATCCTTCTTTGAAAATTCACCTTAAACATATCAAAAAGCAATTACTTAAGAAAAATGAAGATTAAAAGTACATAGAATTTTTTTAATATGTATTGGTAATTGAAAGCTTGATGAATGCTATGATCTATATAAGATTTAATATAGCACATACAATGAAAACTATAAGTAGATTCATAGCAAATTTTAAAAGGTTAAATTGAGAAGATAGAAAATGGCTATTACAATACTTAAAAGGCACTTCAAGTTTGGCACTTTATTTTAAGAAGAATAATGTAAATCTTTGTGGATTTACTAATGTAGATTTTAATAGTGACCTAGATAGTTATACAAGTATAATAGGTTTTGTATTTACTTTAGAAGGTTTTGATGTGAATTGGATGTTTAAGCTTCAAAAGAGCATTGCCTTATCAATTACCAAAATATAGTACATGACTACTTCTAAAGCTGAAAAAAAAAATGATATGGTTGAAGAATTATTTTAACAAATTAAGCATAGTGCGACTCAATAATAGTCTTTTTAGTAATAGACAAAGTACAATTTATCTAAATACAAGGATTTTTAGAAGCAAAGCCCTTAAAAGAAAGTTTTTATTTAGGCTTTTTATTAGGGATTTCTTTTTGTAATAACAATATTCTATGTTGAAATCCTAGGCTTGCAAATTTGGGGGTTTTCTTTTTTTCTTTTATGAACTTCTTTCTCTGAATTTTTTTTATTCTATTAAATAAGTCAATTCTTAACATTCATTTCTATTATACTATCTTAAAAGTTGTAAAAATTTCAATATCTTGTTTTGTAACTCAAAAAAAGATAGCTTTTAAATTGAACCTATAAGTTATTGATTTTTCATTTTTTTAATGCTAAAAATTAAATAAATAAATAAAAATAAAGATAGAAGATAGAATGCAATGTTCATTGAATTTTCTTTGGTTTATTAAAAAAAATTGACTCTTTATCTTGATTTTAATAGATGTTGTCAATAAAAAAACATCAAACTTTTATATTGTATTTGAAAGATTTCTAGATGGCTCTTATGTGCATTTACTAATATCATATCCATGCCAATGTATAAGATATTCTAACTTCTTTTGACATTGTCTTGAGTCTAAAATTTCTTATACTTCAAATTTTTAAATGTTATCTATTTCTATAGAAAAAAGTAGTATTTGCCTTCTTTAATATATATGTGTTGTCTTGTATAGCTCTTTTTAGACATAGAATATGTCACGTAGAACATAAGGTGGATCTTCATAGAATCTTGTACATATAATTAATATTCAATTGGATTGATTTGTTTTAAAAAAAAAAAAAAAAAAAAAAAAAAAAAACTATCCAAATCTATGATAATTCAATCAATTTGTAATAAGAATAAATAGTCTCAATATTATGACAAAGTAGTCATATCTTATTACCAACATAGAATTGAATTTTTTTTCTTTGTAAAAGATATATCTACATTAATTTTTTTTATTCTTGAATTTTTTTAATTGTACCATTATTATTGCATACAATTCTAATAAATGATTTGTTAAATCTTTTTCTACAAGATTATCAACTTTTGACAAGTCAAAAATATTAATTTATAGATGATAATTGTAATTAGTACAGAAAGATGATCTTTTAATAGAAAAATATATTATATTATTATAATCAAATTTAGCCAATAGCAAAAGAATTTTCTAATTATTTTAATGATAGTTAGTGATATATTTCTAATATTATTTCAATACCAGATTTACTTATTTTATTTGTCCATTAATTTTAAAATAAAATACCAAAGATAGTTTTATATCTATTTTTAATATCTTATAAAAACTTCTTCAAAATTTATTTATAAGTTTTTTTTTTGTTAATTTAATAGTTTTTGAAATTTTATAATAGTAATAAAAATTATCAAAATAAATTTAAATTTTTTAAAAATCTATGATAGTTTTTTTTACTTTATAAAAAAAATTATTTTAATGAAGCAATATACTATGATAAATATCAAATCATAAGAACTTAAGATTAGAAGATTTGTAATAAATTTTATAAAAATAATTATTATATTAATTTATAATAGCTAAAGAAGTCCATAAGGTCAATAATAAAGAATTTTTTATCTTAAAGAATCACATGATTCTACAAAGTCTTTTAGTAACTCCTATATTTGAAGCCACCAAAAATCTCTTAAAATTAATTATAAGATATTATTATATTCAAAATGAGATATAGATAAATAAATAAATAAATAAATAAATAAATAAATAAAAATTGTATCAAGCTTAAAGAGCATATAATTGTGCTCCACCTTCTAGAACATATTGATATTATTTTTAATAGATTAAATTGTCTATAAATTCAAACTTAGAAGAATTACAAGATTTAAAAGAGTTATTTTTTGTATTATGTATCAGAAGATCTGAAGACATACTTGATTAAACTTGATCATAAAATGTTGAATCAACATTTGATATTGATTTCATTGCTCAAAGATAAAATTGCTTTTATTTAGAAGAAATATTTGTTTTTATAAATCAAAATTTGCATCTCATTTTTTTGGTGTAAGATAAGGATATCTAAAAAAAAAAAATCTTACAAACCTTATTGTTTTCATGATTGATGAATGTATTGAATACAAATCTTTACAAGACATGTTCTAATAAGCTTGGCAATAATTAAAAATTTATGTTGATATAAAATACTTAATATTCTTGTGATTTATATAAGTAGTCATTAGACTAAAAAAATCTTTTAGATATTGGTGCCAATCTTGAAATAAATTATTAATTATAAGAAGCTCTTTATTGTAGATCTCAAAATTTATTTGAACTACAAAAATATTTTTGAAATAAAAAGCTATCAGATGAAATTTATCATCTATTTTCATTTGTAACAATACTAAATCTAAGACAAAGTCCAATGCATTTGTTTCCATAAAAAATGATTTGAGATATTAATATGATATAAGATTGAGGTTGTTGTAAAAGTAGTCTTTAAAGCTTCAAATATTACTTCAATTTTTTTGTTCTACAAAAGTGTGTCTTTACAAGTTAAACATATCCATGGATCTACAACATAAGAAATGTTTCTAATAAAGATTTGATAATAATTAATAAACTTTAAAAAATATTTAATATTTTTTTATTATTTTTAAAATCTTCGAATTCATGAAAGTGTAAACTTTTTAGGATCCATTACAAGACCATCATTTGTAATAATTTATCTTAAGTAATCAACTTGAATTATATTAATTATATACTTTTTTAACTAAGTACATAGACTCGTATTTCTAAGTTTTTGTAATACACAAAGAATATAAAGTTTACACTTTTATATTTTTTAGAGTAGATTAAAATAGTATTTGAATAAAAAATAATTAAATTATATAAAAATTCTTGGAAAATATCATTTATTGGATGTCAAAAAGTAACTAATATATTTATGAATTTAAAAGCCATGACATTATATTTAAAATGTCCATACTTGGTTCAAAATATAGTCTTTCATTCATCTTTGTTTTTATGAGTATTATATTATATGCCCTCATAGATCTATTTTTATATATATATTTACTTGAAATAATTAATCAAAGAGCCATGATATCAAAGGTAGGAAGAATCTATTATTAATAATAATCTTTTTAAATCCTCAATAATCCATACACACCTACAATGATCTATCTTTTTTCTTTGCAAATAAGATAGAAAATCTTGTTAGAGATTTCAAATGATGTATGAAGTTTTTAACTAAACTCTCATTAATATACTACTTAAGTGAAGCCAATTCATTTTGTGATGAGTTATAAATTTGCCCAAATGATAGTTGAACTCATTTTTTAAGATCTATCAAACTATCATAAAGATAATCCTCTAAACGAGTATTTATATTTTTCTTTTTAAAATGACTTAATAATCTTTACTTGCTTAGAATGCTATTGAAAGTCTTTTTATTAGTAATAATAGTAAAAGTAAATAAAATAACTTTCAATACAAATTATGAAAAAAGAATAATCATTTGTTGCTATAAGTTTGGTTTTATAATTAATATCTTTAAATAAAAAAGAACAACCCTCTATGATTTCTTCATTCACATGCTTAATTTTTTTAATCAAAGGTATACTATGTTTTTTAACAAAGTCTTCATTTAAATAATAAATTTAAAATTCTTAAATTTAATAAGATAGAAACTTGGTGATTTTTTGGTCTTAAAAAAATATCTATTCTAAAACAAGGTGATGAAGAAAGAATAAATGCCCTACACAAGAAATTGGATAATTCATAAGTGGCAAAACACATGCTTTGTGATAGAAGAAAAAAGACCATTATATGAAATTTTTGAACATCTTCTTTACTTTAAATGCTTTCTCCACACCTCTTTGGTAAGAAGAAATAAGATGTCATTGCTTGTACCATATTTCACTTTATCAATGCATTGAATCTACCCTATCTTTGTCTTCCAAAAAAAGTAAAAGAAAAAATTAGACTTGTGATTAGAAGATTAGCATTATTTGTGAATCGTCGACGATGGCTGTTATAGAGGTTTGGTTACTCATTGCTGCTGAGTAACCAAAATCAGTAAGTAAACAAGCACATAATAAGATAAACACAACAAAAACAACACGACTACCACTCCTTTTACAAAGACAACTAGATCGTCACCCTCTGACACTTGAATGGTCCAGTTCCATACTCGTACGGGGGTTGTGCTGTGGCGCTAACTATTAAGTTATTTTCATACAAAATATGCGACACTGGTATCAATCTTCACGACAGAGTGAAAGAGACCACTTGAAGAATCTCTGATATATAACAGTCATCTCATACCACAGAATAAGATTACAAGCAATTCTGCAGTTCCTGCAATTATCTGCACTTGTACGGCAAGTTTGTGCGCACTGAAGCTTGCAACAGCACAATTGTGAATACAGATAAATAGGATTTTGGTTCGAGTGATGCTGATCAACAATGATCCCACCTTTAAGTAGCAGCATCGAAGCTAAGCTCTCTGATCTCATCAGCTCTTAACGAGAATTTATAACAGGATCAACCCTTGATTGGCCGAGATGCGTTCACAACGATTTAAGGAGTTTCAACGGCAAACTTCTACAACACTACTTGCGACTAACGACTGGAACCAGAGTCCAGAGCAGGTAAGAACATAAGTTGGTTCATCAAGGTGAAATGTGTACAGGACGAGGCATGACACGCTTGGCAGTGCAGCACGCAGTTTATTCTTCGCTACAATGCCCATTACGTAGTTCATACACCACAAAGGGACATGTACTTCGACGGTCGCCGGAAAACCACTGACAAAGGGAGGGAAGAAGCCATCTGCACAGGCTGGGAATCGTGAATGGTTTCTGTGGACTCCTCTAAGTTCACAGTCTCGGCCATAGATGGTAGCAGTTCCTTGCCTGAAGGTTTTGAAGTCGGGAAGTAATGCTCCATCGGTTGACTAACCAACGCACATGAGCAAAAAGATTTCAGAAAGAATCGAAACGACGTCCAGCTGATTCGGATGCCGTGGGAGGGGTCTGGTTAACCGTTTTATCTGAATTTCTGGGTCTTGAGGAAGATGTGCTTTAAAGAATCAATCAGATACTCCAAATCTAATTCAATGAATCGGAACCAGAGGTTAATCTAGGAAAGCGGTGTTTCTGTCATGAAGCATCACATCGAATATTGGAGAGGGCAAAAAGCATGCAAAATGCTGCAACAGTGTGGGAAGACTGTCATGGATAAGTGCGGTCAGCTGGGAATAACCAGATACCTCCACAGGATTAGATCTGCCATGAAATCTAGTGAAGGGACATGTACCTGATCGATCACGCCTTACTGAAACTGCCACAATCCGATCGGACTGCCCCGCACGCAAGAGTTACGATCCGTTTCCGCCTTGTTGCATGATGAATGGGGAATTCTATTTAGAGCCGGCGCAGTCCCCAAGAGCCGCCAATTCAAACGCAACATCGTAATGACTCATCGAAGAGGAACCTTCCTGATGGCGGCAATTCCCAGGCTGACCTTTTCACGCCCGTCACATGTTGCCTTCTCATCCAATGCCCTCGCTCCCATCTTCAGAAATAAAACCCATTCGGATCATGCTAAATACTCGCGAAGTTGTTCGTCATTTTTTCATTTAAACAATTCACACATAATAGATAGCACTGACCAGGCTATGGGCGATTTAATCATTTCGGCATCGAGTTACTAAAGGAGCCAATCCTTCCCTCCCCAAAACTACCGAGAATGGCAACGAGAATGCAGACCGAATTATCCTTCCTTGTCAGAGGCTGACGCTTGGGTGGGAATCGCATCGGTCAGACCGCTCGGCTTGACTTCATTCAAACCGAAGTCAGCTTTTCATTTAGGATTTGCGGCTCCTCGTCACCTAAATGTTCTTCGGCTGTCTGTCCGTCGATATTTCCCATTCTACGTTTCCTTCTTACCTCAAATGGCGCCACGGACAGTCCAATGGCAGGTAGGCTTCCATACAAAGTGCCGCTAGGTTCCAGTTTTTAAGTGCATGGGGGAGCATATCGGATCAGCCTAATCCAAACACGGCGAATCGATCGCACATCTCAGATTCGTGCAGGGACAGGATCGTCTGCACTTAAGGGAAAAGGTACAGCTTCGTCACAGAAGGATGCTCTGAACATTAAAATCGATGGCCAACAGAATAAACTTCATAATTTCAAGAAAAAGGGGCAATCATCAGGGATCATCTCCACCCTTCAATGCCGCTAAGAACCTGAATGCGCTTCCAGGCGGCTTGACTGGAACGACTTGCGGATGCAGGCCCGTTGTGATGTTCATCATCATCTCGGACATGATTTCATCGTAGAGCGTACGCGTATTGAAATCAGTGCTGTTTTCGATGAGTTCATAAATTTTCGCAAGGTCAGAATCTATTTTCAGGAGATCTTCAATGTTTCTTCACCTTCTAGCACCTACGCTGTAGTTATGATGGCGAGGACACGAAGTCTGGAAGCTCTGATTCTTCACCAGGACTTCGGAGCTAGTAAACCTCTATAAGGCCGAATTCGGAGCAAACAAAAGCTTTAATGTCATAACAAACAAAATCGATTTCAACTCGGTTTCAAGCATGGATCCCGAGATGAAGAGCTCGCTTGAGAATATAGCCTGTTTGCATTAAATTCGCACTTAGAAGACATGTTGGATTTTGTCATTTGATATGCCAAATAAATAAGCAATGAAACACAAAGATCGTCTTCATAGTTTTACTATCTTTGGTTCCCGGTGCGAAAACTCCCAACTTCTTTTATCAACAGGGGGTATGAATACTTGGAGCTTTATGACTCTAACACTAGAGTTCACAGTTGGTGGTGTAAAGCCGCCTTACATCACACACACGAAAGATTTTATTTGTCTCGTTTCCTCTTAAGAAAATCAAAGTCGGTCCGTCACAAAGTGGTGTGGGTTTTCACCTGGACCAACGAAGATCTCAGAAGAAAATCTGCAGAACTATTTGGCATCTGCTTATTCAAGTAAAAATTAACTAGATCGAGCCTACAGGAATTACATGCAGAGTAAGAAGCAGCACATAATCATGCCTTAACTAGATCAACCACCGCGATGAGGAAACCCCCCACAGCTCGCCGTCCATTTGCAGGGACGATTAAGTGGGAGCAAATACATGAACAAGTTGTATGCAGATCCCTAAAACCGTTGTCGACGCTCCGCCGCCCCGAGTGGACGCCCGGTCATCGACGCAGCCTGGCGAGTTTCGTATCCAAACTGGGAAATCTGTCAGCACGGACTTCGGGGTTTATTGGATTCTGTATCTAGAACGGAATGGAATTCTAAGGGGGCGGCCACCAGGTGGTGTATTTCGGATGGGATGATCGGTATAAACTTGTGCAATTCCACGCATTCCTAGGTCTCTTCTAGTTTAACAGAACCTGGTCTCTGTTAATCAGAATGAGCCTTCTACTATAGTTAATTAGCAGCCTTCTAGTTCATGAATGGCTTGTTTGTGGGAGTTCAGTCACCGTTGATTAATGTAAATAAAATCAAAAGAATAATAATGTTATACTGTCTTATTTCCTAGAAGACTGCTTTGAGTTCCTGAAGTCTCACAATGTAGAGATAGGCTGATGTGCCTTGGAAAAGAAAAATATATTTTGTTTATAAATTCAGTGGGAACAATGCAGATGAATGTATAAGCTTCAAGCTATGCAGAACGTGCAATAGCATCGAAGTTTGTAAGTCTAAGCAAATAGAGCCACTTGCGCATGGAAATCTATCGAAATGAGACTAATGTTTGGCACTGTAGAGGTGTAAATGAACAGGTGCAAAAATAAATCATTAAGTGCTAGGAGAAAACGACAACATACAGACACACACACATATATATTTATGTATGTATGTTTGTATGTATGTATATACTGCATTATAAATCTATTTCATTTTAAAATTTTTAATTTAGATGATTTTGTTTATTTAATTAGTGATAATTGTTAATGATATTTGTTGATTTATTTTACTTGGGAGCCATAAATTTTCATAAATATTTTATACATGTTTCTTAAAGAGAAAAGAAACTATATTGGAATTCTTTATTAATCATTTACAATGATAATAAAACAAACTTAACTTAATTTCAATTTTGAAGATTGGCAGATTAAGCTTTCAATAGTTCTAATGCAATTGTAAATTCATGTGCTTGTGCTTAGCTTGCTTACCCATCCAAGTTGTTGTAAAGTTGCTTTTGTAGTCGTCCATTTTTAAGTAAATGACTTTTGGCCCATACTTGTTCTTTTAAGTAAAGGACTTTTGCCTCTTACTTTTTGCTTAAGTAAAGAACTTTTGGCCCTTACCTTTTTACAAGTAAAGGTTTTTCTGACCCTTACTTCTTCTTTTTTTTTTTTTTTGAAGTAAAGGTATTTTGACCCTACCTTGGTTATTCCTTTAGTGTACCAAAGTCACCTTCATGTAAAGATACATTTATATATTTTTGGACAAATCCAAGTGTGTGATCACATTGCAAGATGATTTAGTATAGTATGGCATCTTTGGCACTTCCCTCATTAACTTTGGACTATGTTGTGTGGTAAGCATGCATAATGTGGATGTCTACATAACTTTCTTCATAAAAATTTACAAAAGTTCATTTGTAGAAAATTTCCAAATCATTTGGATTTAATCCATGATTTTGGAATCCAAATTTCACACACATACATGCATTCAACAGAAGTTAATAAATAAATGAGAGTAGGTTGAGCTAGTAAGTTTGTACTTAATGTATTGAAATTCATATATGTATCAATGATTGATATATTTGGACTTTTGACAAACACAAATCTTAAAAAAATTGAACAATCGTTATTTTCTTTTGAGAATGTATAATTTTCAATTATCCATATTAGGTTGGATGAAAACTCTCTTAAACTAAGTTGAAACACTTGGTCTCATCAAATTATGATTACCATGTTTAACTTCTATTTTTGAAATAATTTATTCTATGTTGTTAAAAGGTTTTATTCATGTTTTATTCTCATCACTTTGCCTCCTCATCCTTACAATAATATTTCCCTATTACAAAGCCAAATCCTCAGTTATTATTAAAAAGTAGAGGAGGGGCCATTGAGGAGCTCTTAATTTGCCATTCTATATACATACCCACGCCACACATATAATTAGCGTCTCCTAAAACGAGATTAGAGCCCAATACGAACCATATTACGACAGTAGCTGAATGGCCTTGGGACCTGCGCCACGTCCCTTTTCGCTGGTCGCCCACGTCCTCCCAGCTCATCAGCCTTCACGCGAGATGAACGACCACCTCCGGCACGGGCGACCAATGGACGGTGGCGCAGGTCCCAAGGCCAATGCGTCCATTGCTCGCCCGTGCCGGCATGGGCCAGTGTTGTATATATGACAGTAATGCCTGCGGCGAGACCAACCCTGAGCTTCCTTTTCCTCCCCAGATTGTCGATCCCGCTCTTTAGCTGTGAACCCTGTGCAGGTTGAAGACGAGCTCAGGTTTATCGTATTCGCAATTACCCACACAACCGACCCGCATTTGGTTGCACAATTGAGTCACAGAGTTCGGCGTTTCACAGGATACACACCAAGCGGCATTGTTTCTTTTGAATTCCAGCGTCGGTGGGTGGCAATCTCCGATCGCCTTTGAAGGAACCGCTTCGGGGTGGATCTTTGAGGTTGCTGTTGCGATTTGCCGTTGGGTTTCTTGGAATCGTAGAATCATGGGTGCTATTCAGGAGGAGAAGAGCACGGTGCCTGCGACTCTTCCTTACGCGGAGAAAATGATGTTACCCTCGAAGCGCTTCAAGAAGATCTGCGTTTTCTGTGGGAGTAGCAGCGGCAAGAAGGGTGTGTTTAGTAACGAGGCTCTCAACCTCGGCCGCGAATTGGTATGCTGGTCTCTGATTTGAGATTGGTGTGGTCCATTCAGTATCGGTTCGTTGGTGTGTTGAGCTGTGTTTCGCCTCGTTGGGATGTCCCGTTATTTGGTGATGTTTCTTCAGCTTCTGTGATTTCTTGTAAGTTCCATTGGACTCTTTCCTCGGAGGAGGGCATCGTGATGTGTGTTGGTTGTGAGTTCAAGGATGATGTAATTCTAGGTGTATCTTTTTTCTTGACTGTCATACTCCAAATTTGATTGGGTAGGTGATCCGGAACATCGATTTGGTGTATGGTGGAGGTAGTATTGGGCTGATGGGTCAAGTGGCACAGACAGTCGAAGCTGGAGGCGGCAAAGTATGTGGGTAAGTGCATGCCCCTGAAACTTGGCCGATCATGTTAATCGTGTCCAACTGATGCCGCTTCGTGATCACAAGTTTTTGAAAGTGTGGTCTTTTGGTCGTAAGGTATTAATTACACCCAAACCTGCCGCAATGCCGACGTAATTTTTGTTACGGAGGTGGCTGTGAACTTCGTCAAATTGTCGGTTGACGAGTAGTTAGGAAAAGTGTATTTTCGTTGATTGTGTTCTCTTGTGGATTCTGGGTCCTCTAGCTTTGATAGCTGATCGTCGAATACTGTGCGTTCGTGTGAAACCAGCGTTATTCCAAAGGCATTGATTGGAAAAGAACTTACTGGAAGCACAGTGGGGGAGCTGATAGCGGTGCCAGACATGCACTCAAGAAAGGCTGAGATGGCTCGTCAAGCGGATGCTTTCATTGCGCTTCCTGGTATTTTGCGTAACACAATACACGTTCTTGTGAATTGTTGAAGTTGTTATTAGAGCTACGAATTCTGCCTTGATGAAAAAGATGATTGAGAGACCCGATGATCGTCTCGATTTGCAGGTGGTTACGGCACTTTGGAAGAACTTGTGGAGGTCATAACCTGGAATCAGCTCGGCATTCACAAAAAGCCGGTACAGTCCTTTTCTCGTCTCTTCAATCTGTTCCACCATGCAGCGTTTAATTTTAGGTTAGGCTTGATGGGAGGAGGAGATGTTGCAATAAAATCTGGCTTTCTGCATTTATCTATGCAGGTGGGACTTCTCAACGTGGACGGCTTTTATGACACATTGCTCACATTTTTCGACAAGCAAATGGAAGAGGAATTCTTCGACAGCTCATCCCGGAGCATAGTAGTGTCCGCCCCGACCGCAAGTGAGTTACTCGACAAGTTGGAGGCTCACTCCCCGACTTTGACCAAGGGTCCCAAGCTGTGCTGGGAGGTGGAGCGACCAATAGGACTCGGTCTTACGACCACCCCCATCGCCGGTGTTGGTCAGTGAGTTCTTGACGCAGTAAGCATTATTGTCTGATGACACAGATCGAACCCCAAATTGTATAAAACGAGGATGCACTTCCGCTTCAGAGCGAATCTCAATTCAAGTACCACAGCATGATCAATTTTGACACTACGTATGAGCCATCGCATGCTCACCACCTTGCGCCAAGCATTCTTTTTGGATCACAAGTCTTCAGTGTTGACGCTTTGTCTGCTCTGCCCACACAAACGGTAATAGTGAATTGCTCTGTTCCTTTTGTTCCTCTACTAATTCCGAATTTCTCTGAGCACTGAGATCAGTCCATTTTTTTATTTACGGCGTCCCTGATTTCTCTGCCTTATCATGTGCAGCTGTTGCAGGCTTGTGGAACAGATGCTGAGCCATTCATTGGCGAATTCACCTTTGCTGGACCGAAGTACAAAATTTTATCTTGTAGTTGAGGGCAACTAGCCATCGACAGAATAGCATGATTGACCACTTTACCTTTTTTCTTCTTTCTCTTTTGCAGTGTACGGCCCCAAAGCTTGGGTGTATATTGGTATAAACATTTTTGCTATAAAATGGCCCCTGGCTTGTGCATGAAGTTTTTGCCCTTTCTTGGTGAACTTTACCTGTGCAACTAAGATACGCACTCCTTCAACAAATCAAGAAATGAAGATGTTATAATGGACAAATATAAACGCTACGTTAACTAACTTAAAAAAATATTTTAATTCTTGTGATCAATTAAAACATCTCAACTTTACGACTTTACAAACTAATATTCTTTTTTTCTTCTTCAATACTATTTAAATCATACATTTTCAAATCAAAATTTCAAATTAAAAGTGTTTTCATGGACCTGTAAATTTCTCTTATCATGTGCAGTTGAATTTTGCAAGAAAAACTTGTGATCTAAATACACTTATTCTCAGATTGTGATAAACGTATCACCCAATTTCAGCATTATTCTATTTCATCTGACGTTGCCTGAATATTCTAGACAGCATCGTCAGAAGCAAGTGCACCGCATCCCACAATTACCTTCAGAGCCGTTAGTACGATGCCGATCCAGCACCAGATGATGGAATCTCGATAGCTTCTGAGCAAGGTTTACATAAAGTGCGGAGGCGGCGCATCGAATCATCACCGGAACCGCTCGCGAGGCATCGTTGAAGTACCATCAGTGGTGGCGCAATTTGTGTGAAGGAATCCGCATTAATTTCCTCGAAGGCCGCCACGCTTTCATTCATGTTTACGTGACTAGGAGTAGTCAAGAGAATCGGTGGAGTCTGGAGTTTGGAGAAGTACTTGCTGCAGTTGGCAGCATGGTGATGCAGGGACCTGAGAAACTACCTTGAGAACCAGTTCTGAGCGGAATGGGGTGCCCGCATTGAACACTATTCTTGTATCTATAATACACATGGACGTGAATTCGAGGGACTTGTGTGATGGCAACATCGGTTGATCTCGGCCTCACGGGCCCTGGCTTCTCGCTCATGTCAAACTCCTTCGGCTTATGGTTGTAACATCGCCACTCAAATCCACGGAGAAGGCTGGCGTCCACGACCTCTACGACCTCCATGATCATTCCTGTCCCTGAGCACTGGCGCCGTTCAACTGAGACAAGAATGAGCTGGAAATCAGGCCCCATCATTTTGATGTCTTTGTTGAGGAACCTGACAGGATTGAATTCTTGGGAGTCCGGAGTCGCGGCCAATGGTCCACGAGTTCAGCATCACAGTGGAATTGGCAGGGATATCATAACCCACGAATTCGTTTTATTCCAGGTTGAATTTGGAGATGCACAGAGGCGAGGCGGGATGGAGCCGGAAGCGCTCCTTCGCCACATCTTGCACGAAGAGCATGTTATTATCTTGTTCTTCGATGAGCGAGTCATTGCCCAAAATATGGATCTCCTCCTGAGCGCGCCTCGTAAAATGAGAGTGATGGAGAAGCTCTCCGATTGCCATCTTGATGGAGACAGAGGTTGTGTCGCTGCCGATAATGATGAAATCCTTCAAAAATAGTCAAGAGCCTTCATGTTTTGCACAATTCAAGAGCCTTCTATTTGTGATTAAGATCAGATCTGGATACTGATTGACTCACGAAGATAACGACAGCCATGGCGTTGGGAGGAAGCTCATTTTCTCCTTACTGAGACAAGAGGATGTCCATCATATTGAGTTATCCCCGTCGGCGCCAGGTCCTTTGCTGGATTTGATTTTTCTAAATCAATACCTGCGCAACGAGGTTCATCTTTGCCGACAGGTAGTGCATTTTTTTTCTTATAGCCCATGAAGTCGTAAATGTTGAGCAGGGGTAGAAATCGCCTACGCAGACTACACTGGCTAGGTTGACAACCTCCTTTACCAAGGTCTTCAAGGTCACCATCTCCTCCCTAGTGAGAGGCTCTGAGGCGACCATATGTGACTAGACGAAGATCATCCTCTCTAATTTATCTATGCCCAACTCTTGCAAAATGGATATCATGTTCTCACACCCAGTAGCTTGCATTTCCGACAGCACCTTATTCACCATGTGTTTTACTTTATGCTGCCTCGGTACCTGCAAGCATTGTATTTACTAGGAGAGGGGGAGAAGAGATGACTTACAAATTTAAAAAGCACTTCCTACTTCTGCTAAGATAGAATCAAGCTCCGTCAAATCTCAATTAAAATCTCCAATAGTCGAACAAAAAATAATTGGAACATTACTTTCGGAGTGCTACTCTAACATAGAGAGTTGCACAATGTGCACGCCACTTGCAACGAGAAAGATGGATTCACTTAGGATCAAAGCGAAGAAACAAATCATTTCTTTTAACTGTAAGGACTGAAGAGGATCCTTCCGGATGTATATTTTGAATAATAGATCGGTTTTATAAAACTGTGTTAAACATGTGACAGAGCCACACGCTTGAGAGAGAGAAGCTCCGCAGTATAAATGCGACGGAGGCGCTTGTAGTAGTTTCCGAACGGGGCCAACACTATGCTCTTGAAGTCTATCTCCAGCGTCTTTTCCGCAGTCATGAATGGGCGAGATGCGAAAGCCTGGTAGTTATGCTTCAGCACTTGCTCGGTCATACCCGCGGCACTGATGAGAAGCTTGGGCTTGTTACCAACTCACATCATTGTTGGAGGATCATTCTACTGGCATATCCTCGCAAAAGTTGCTTCCTTGTCTTCAATTAGAGGCAGGTGCCAAATGATAGGCATCCGCCCTCTTTGGAATGGGCCGAAAATTCAGTTTCCTGCTCATGGACGACCGCAGGAAAAGTTACGACACCCCGAGGACGACGACCACGGAAGTCACCGACACCAGCGCATGAATTTCCATCTTGCAAGCACCATCCCAACCCGAATCTCGAAATCCAATCTCCTCTACTCGCAGCTCTCACAGCTCATGCACTGCCCTCCATGAACCAATCTAGGAGCCGCAAAATCACTCATCCCTTTCTCGCTCATCCGCAACCTACAGCGCAGAGTGCGGAGCTTTTAGAGGGGAGCATATGCAAACGGCGCCAGCGCAACTGCAGGCATTACTGAGGGAAGTCCAAGAGATCGCCAACCACAATGACGGCCTGGAGGGCAGAGCCCCGAGAATTATTTGAGGCAGAAAATCCTGGGCACCGCATTTTCTGAGCAGCGATCAGCGCAGCAGGCCCGATGGATGCAGAAATGATAAGAGACCACGACGAAGATCAAGGATCGACTGGGTCATTCGAGAGTTGCACACTGTACGTGAAGAATCGCTGGATCAATGGAGCCGGTGTCAAACTGAGTGACTGCGAAGTTGAAAATCGCGGCGCTTTGACCCGACTCACAAAGGGTTCCCGCTCCGGTACTCGTACTCTGCACCACCACGCTTGCTCCATCTCCCCTGTGCCTGTGTACATCTCTCTCTCTCTCTGTGTATACATATTTACATATGTATGTGTGTCAAAAGTGTGTGTATATCTCTCTCTCTCTGTGTATCTCTTTCTCTCTGTGTATATCTCTCTCTCTCTCTCTCTCTCTCTCTCTCTGTATTTATATACATATATATATATATATGTTAAAATGTGTGTGTATGTGTAACAAGTGTGTTTGGGTTAGCGGGAAACAGACTTTGATGTTGGCTAAGAAATTAACTATTTTTGAAACAATTTATATTGAGAAAAGGAACAATGATTGTAGCAGGTTGTGTTGTAAAACTTGATGTGTGCTTCATGACATCAAGTGTTTTGTTTGTATATATGGTTTATATGTTTCAGGTTCTCTTTATGACATTTAGCTGCTTGTCACTTTGGGATAGTTTTGCGTTGAGATGTTAAGATCTTTTATTTTTTTACATAACTTTGTAATAAAAACAGAGATAGCATTGTGTGGTACATTTTGAAATAGATTTTTTGTAATGTCTGTGTGTTGGCATGTCTGTGTGTTGGCAAAAATGTATAATAAGATATTTTTTTTCCTCATGTGTTTTTAACTAAAATTATAAATATATATAATTTATAATTTTAGTTAAAATATAGTTATATTATATAGTTATATAGTTATATATAGTTATATAGTTATAAAATTTAGTTATATATATATATTCTAAATATAATAAGTAAATTCGTAAAAAATATGAATTTCCATAAGGTAAAATAAGTTTTATGTTTCTAGATTAAGATGTATAAATTGGATAGATAAAAATTTAATAAGTATAAGGATTAAGGTAAGATACAAAACTATTTATTCTTTGGGAAGAAAAAAAATTTAAGTCAAATTGGTGAAGTTAAAATTTAAGTTTAAATAAAAATAAAACTAAAATTTGTTTCCATACAAACTACTTATAAAGTCAAAGATTTGATGTCCAAACTTCTAGTGTCTTGTCACTTAAGCCATTAGAAGAAAGAAAAATTAGGGGATTTTTTCTAAAGGAATCAGAAATAAGACATAAGTTTTAATGCCATTATCAAAATATTCTAATAGATTTTTGATAACATCATTAAGATTAAAAATTACATTCGTGGAATTTATATGTATATTTATTTCATATATATATATATATATGAAATAATTTTTGGAATTTTATATTAACATATGACATACATTTTGCAACAATATATTTAAAAAAAACATTTCATATTTTATGAACAAACATTATTACTTGTTTTCTGGTGTAAAACTATTGGAAAAATTAGATATTGAAATCAGAATTAATAAAAAATATAATTGAAATCCACATTTTTAAATTTGAAATTAGGAGATTTATTTTAAATTGACTTGATTAAAAATAGGAAATTTAAATTCTGCAAAGGTAAACACAGGAATTACACCATGAGAACTGGATGAGAAATGAATGAAAGTAAGGCAGCACAACATTCGTCGGGCATGACTCCATGCCCAGACTTACCTGCGTCGTCGTCGGCGTCGTCGTCACGGAGGAGGCTTTTGCCAATTGCGTGTGTCGATGCGTCGAGGAGCTTCGACGTTGATCGTAACCCTAATTTCTCGCAACCATTGTTTCGTCACAGCTAAACATCGTCTTGCCTCGTCGTCCTTCTCGTCCTCCTCCTCTGTGCCCTTCCTCATTCATGTCAAAGGCTGTTGACACTGTGCTTCAGATTGATTCAATTGCGCTTGTCTGTCCGCCATGGCGGATCCCGAAGCGGTGCGCGTTGAATACAGGCGCAAGCTTCTGCAGCACAAGGAGATTGATTCGAGGCTAAGGAGTTGTAAGCCTTTCTGATCGGCCGATTCTCTTTGGAACTGATTTGTAGTTTCATTGTCTGGGACTGGCGCATGCTAGGGTTTGGGTGATTAGAGTGGGATGGGGTGTTAATGATGAGCTCGTGGAGGTTTCACAGTGCGAGATAATGTCAAGGCTGCAAGGAGGGAGTTCGATAAGACGGAGGATGACCTGAAGGCTCTGCAGAGCGTGGGTCAAATCATCGGGGAAGTGTTGAGACAGCTTGATTCTGAACGATGTAAGTGACAGCTTCCTTTTGCGTCGCTGTTGGTCCCGAACCAACATTTCTGGTTTATCACAATTATGAGGCTGGGAGGTATATCCTTGTTTTCTTCTTTAGAGCTTGTCACATACGACATTTGGTTGGTTGTGTTGCGAAATTAGAGTTGTGGTTTTATGGAATTGGTAGTGTGAGAGTAACGTTGGTCGATTGTTTCGTTTTCTGGGAGATTGGCCAGTGATTGTTAAGGCCAGCAGTGGTCCACGATATGTGGTCGGATGCCGCAACAAGGTCGACAAAGAAAAGTTGGTGGCTGGTACTCGAGTGGCACTAGATATGACCACTCTCACGATCATGCGAGCACTTCCCAGAGAGGTGAGTATCGAGAGTATTTTTAGTCCAGAGTGAATTTTAGAATCCGAAATGTGCCGGCACAATTTTATAGATCATTAAGCGCTGTTTGATTCCGATATTGTAGTACTACGGATTTTTGGGACCTTTCGTCCTGCACTACTTTCTCTCTTTATAAAGAAATTTGTGTTGTAGGATTTTGATCTATTAGGATCTTATATGTTTGTGAGTCGTTGGTAAAATTTCCAAATATCTTCTCCGCTGATTTTTCGTTTTGTGCATTTGTGCGCTTGATTCGTGCGGTTAGGTTGATCCCGTAGTGTACAACATGCTTCACGAGGACCCTGGTAATATTAGCTACTCAGCTGTTGGAGGACTAAGTGACCAAATTCGAGAACTTCGTGAGTCAATTGAGTTGCCGCTTATGAACCCTGAGCTCTTCCTTCGAGTTGGCATTAAGCCTCCAAAGGTACCTATTGGCCTGTGTTTTACTACCTCGCTGATTTTGATTTAGCAACTGCCAGTGACATGCATCTTTTGTGACGTTACGTCCTACCCTTATTTCCATGCCTCTCTGAATGTCCAATTGCTGAAGGCCACCAACTTCTCCAAACTTCGGCCGAATTTCTTTCAACCCATCTCAACATGTACAAGAGATGATTAGGTTTCTGAACTTTTATCCATGGGTAGATCAAAATCAACATTTCCAATTATTTGTCCTTGTCCAACCTTGTGTACTTTAAGATCTTGTAGGTTTTATTTACTGAATGCGTAATTGGATGGTCATTATGCTGATAATAATATGTTTCCTCTTACAGGGTGTATTGTTGTATGGCCCCCCTGGAACTGGCAAAACCCTTCTGGCGCGAGCAATTGCTAGCAATATTGATGCTAATTTCTTAAAAGTACGAGGTCCTGGGTTCATTAATTGGACTCATTCAAACCTGTTTTGGGCAGTCTTTCATCTGAATTTGTTTGACCTTACTGTTAATATGCAGTCTGATGCAACTCTGGAAATCTTTATGAAGCTATGAAAGGGTTTCATGTTTTTGTTTTTGTGAACATTTGCATTTGCATCGACTAAGATGCCGCCGATGTAATGTGTGCTGGATTGTGATTGGCTCGGTCTCAACAGTTTGCTCTTTTCGTTTGTATTTGAGACATTGGTTTAATTTCTTTGCAGGTGGTTTCTAGTGCGATTGTGGATAAGTACATTGGAGAAAGTGCGAGACTTATTAGGGAGATGTTTAGTTACGCCCGTGACCATCAAGTACTACCTCTTTTCATCTGCACTTGGTTCAGTTCTTCCATATTAAAGTGGTTACAGGAGTTACGCTTTTGTTTTGTTGATTAACCTCCAAAACTGCTAACGTTGTTGTTGTGGTGGCTACTTTGTGGACCATTATCTTTGCAGCCTTGCATCATATTTATGGATGAGATTGATGCCATTGGAGGCCGTCGTTTTAGCGAGGGTACTAGTGCAGATCGAGAAATCCAGCGTACCCTTATGGAGTTATTGAATCAACTTGATGGTTTTGATCAGCTTGGCAAGGTACGTGGAGACTTTTGAATCCACCCTGGTAACCACTTCAATATCTTTCACTTTTCTGGCAATTTCTAGATGTCCCACGTGGATCTTGTGCATGGCAGCCAGTGCCTGGCTAAATTTCGCCAGTACTGCTTTGATGTCCCAATGAGGAGTAGACCTGGAAAAATTTCTGTCAATGCCACGTTGCCATAATAGTGATCATAGATTTCGAGGAAACACCGTTGATAGTTGCCAACATCTTGTCATTATAGGTAAAGATGATCATGGCAACCAACCGGCCAGATGTTCTTGACCCTGCTCTTCTACGACCTGGTCGTTTGGATCGAAAGATTGAAATTCCACTACCAAATGAACAGTCTCGTACAGAGATTTTGAAGATTCATGCATCTGGTATTACGAAGCATGGAGAGATTGATTACGAGGCTATTGTTAAACTTGCCGAGGTACAGTATTTCTGCTTTCGTAAACATTATCCTTAATCTGCGTGCCATCACAAGAGGTATGATAGACTGGAACTGTATTTATAGAAGTGAGTTGTACGGTGCTGCTTTATGCGACTTGTGTTACTGATGTTCTTTTCCTTCGAGGTTCGAATTGGATGCACAGTGTTCTAAGATCAGGTTTTATTCTTGGGGTTGACAACCGTATTTTTCTTTTGCACTTTTTCAGCGAGGAATTTATGATGTTTTGTGGCTGATTTTTATATATTCCAGGGCTTTAACGGAGCTGATCTTCGAAATGTCTGTACTGAAGCGGGCATGTTCGCCATCCGAGCTGATCGTGACTATGTTGTTCAAGAGGATTTCATGAAGGTAAACCCCTGATTTCTTCGTGGGAGTAGTCCGAGTGTGGTGATTGGTCCATTTTAATATGGTAGTTTGAATGAATCAATAAGGATCGACGTATATTTATATCAAAACTTATTGGAGCAAGTATAATACCTCGTGACTGCTTAAGATTTTACCTGATGAATGTATTGTAGTAAATATTAGTGCATCAAGGTCGCTTGTGTGTATTTGAGCTTGGGAGTAGGTACGATGTTCAGACTTTCAGAAGCAACTTTTAGCAATGCCAGCTTGAGAAACTTCTAGAATGTTTCGCAATTAGAAGCAGGAGAGAAAAAGCTATTAGTATCGTATGCTTTGAAATTCCTGTGATACTTTAGGTGACCTCGATTTTTTTCTACATCGCTTTCACAGCTTGTCAGCTCAACTATGATATTACTGTGGTCTGTTGACCTATCTTTACACACCATGTGGTTTTTTCAGGCTGTTCGGAAGCTCACGGACGCAAAGAAGCTGGAATCAAGTGCTCATTACAGCACCGATTTTGGCAAGGAGTAGAATACGGAAGTTTTACTCTATTTATACCTTGGCTGCCTTCCGAGAAAGTTCCTTCAACTTTGCACGGATCCTGGACACTCTCAAGAGATCATTCTTAGGTTCAAATCAAGGTCGATTTCACTGTTCATGTTCAGCAAACCTCTGGAAAATAAATCCTTCTCTTCGCATGTACAAAATTTTAATATTTTCAAGTGGATTTTTTTTGAAATCTGTACCAATTTTCAGATGCACTCAATTCTACATCAAATGGCCTCTGGTTGTTTACGATTGAAATAGCATGTTCTTCCCTGTTTTAACAGTTCCCAGTACTTCAGTGTGCATCTTAAAACCCTCGTAAAAATTGTTAGTGAGACGTCACACTGTAGTAACGAGTGGTTAAATCTTCATCGAGGGTAATTTTTTCAGTGATACGATTATCTCTTGAATGCCCATGGCAGATCAAATTGGTCACGTTTTGAGTATGCAGGCTCTGTGCTTGATACCTCCAGAAATCGGTGGAGATGATAATGTATGTTGCCAAAATGATGGAAGCATTTATTACACAGATGACTTACTGCAGCTGCCTTGGATTTTGACGTCAAGACCTGCTCCGTCAACCTTGTGTCACATCAACCAAACTCTCCACCACTTGCTTTGTACACATCTAAAAACTTCGAATGTCCTCAAATATCCAATGAGGGCTTGGGATGAGATGATTCTAGGTTGTGAATTACTCCCAGTTGCTACGTAGAGATTTCCCAAACGTAGTAATTTGAACTATTCACAGACAAGGATCATACTTATGCACTGCATCCAGTTGAATGTCTTTAATTAAAGGTCATTACGTTTTTTTAAGGTATAAGGATTAGAAAGTAAGATTTTTAACAAGCTAAGAATAATTAAATGTAAAATTAGGATGATTTTTTTGCAACAATTCAAGTAAACAATGGTCCATTACTGTAATAATTCGATTCACCCAACTCTGGAGGAATATTTCTTTGTGCTAATAAAATTGAACAACTAGAAAATTTTGTGATGCTTAAGCCAAGGAAGTTGGATTAACAATAAACTAAAAATTATTGAATTTAGAGTAACAAAGCTATAGCAACAATTGTTCAAATTTTATGCATGAAGTTAAATATTCATGAACAAAATATTGGATTCTTACTTACAAAGCTTAGACTTACTCCCTTCTAAGGTTAGAATAATAATATTTTTTAACGAATATTATATATTTTTTTCAATATCACTTCTTCTTCTTTATATTCTCATCTATTAGTTGCTTCTTTCTTCTTCTATAGTTATTTAATTCTTATTAATGCTCTTTTTATGTTTTTTCTATGATAGATTATTACCTTGTATATCCCACTAAATCATCTTAATTATTGGATCTATTGACAATAATATTCTAGTAATATTAAGATAAAAAAAATGTAAAGTTACAATATTTTTTTGGTTTTCTAAGTATTTATTAAGATTTCTCAATTGAAAAGATTCATTTAAGATGAAACATTATAAAATAAAGTCTTATTAAACATTGGAAATAATTATCCTAATTGATGTAGTATTTTTGTTTTTAATATTTTTTTAAAACCAATGTCTAAAATGGTTAGATACATATATATATATATATTATTAGAAATTTATACATAATAGTTAGTTAAAGAAGCATATAAAAAAGTAGTCATAATTTTGGACAATTTATGCAAAGAATAATTTTATTAAAAGTAAATAAGGATTTATTGCAAGACTTTAAGTAAAGAATAATTGATTGACTTATATTGAAGAGGAAAATAATATCCAAGTTTAAGAATTGGTGTTAGAAAAATATAACTAAAAATTAAATTAAACCACAAAATCACAAAAAAAATCAATATCTAAATTATAAGATATATTAATAATAGTAAATAATAAATAAATAAATAAATAAATAAAGAAAAAGGATAAAAAAAATCTAATAATTGGTTTTCTTTAGATGATGTTTTTTTTATCTTGGTAAAAATTCAATTCTAATTAAAATCCACTACTTGACTCAAAAGCTGAAATGCATATATCTATATATATATATATATATATATATATCTATATATATATATATATATATATATATATATATATTTATATATAAGCATGAAATTGTAAAGAACATGTTACTAAATATCAACATTACAATTCAAGATTTTTATTTTAATAAAATAAATTCGTCTTATAATGTCTTGTTTTATTTTATTAAATTTCAATCTTCAATCTTAAATAATAAAACAAAAACCTTAAGATAACAGGAATAATTTAAGACATACTACTAATTGTATTTAAAACTTTCATCTTTAATCTTATTATCTATTCTGCATTATAAATTGATGCATGTCATTTAATATTTTTTAAGTAAAGATACTTAAGTATTAGATAAATGTAAGAATTAAGTTTATTTTATTTTATTTTATTTTATTTAAAGATAGAAGTAAATACATCAACAAAGTGATAAATTTTGACTTATGTGGCAATATTATTAGATTAAAAATTTTACGTACAGTAAAACTTACTAAGTGAGTTTTTCAATTAAATATAAAATGATTTTAAGTTTTAATATTAAAAAACTTAAAACATGTATATGATATTGGTTTTTATTTATTTAACGATGTTATAAAGCTCGACTTGAAACTAATAACTACTAATTACTACTAACAAAACCAATTTTTTTTTATAATAAATAATTAATATACATAAATAATATATAAGATTTTTTTCAAGAAAAACATTAAAAAAATAAAAATATTCTATATAGATAATGAAATTCAAAAGACATGATAAATTTAATATTTCAAAGAAAATGATTTATTTTATTTTATTTTTATTTTTTCACAATTGTATTACTAAGCTACAAAAAATTAAGATGATAGTAAATAAGAAAAAAAATTGAATCAAAAAATGTTTTGAAATATTATCAAGCACAAACAATGCATCAAATAAAGTTTTTTGAATTATACAAAATTTTAGTTTTGTTTAAAAAATCTAACATTCTTAAAACAAAATATATGTAAAACATGTGAAATTTAAGAAATATAATAATCTAAGATAGTTTTTTAAATAAGATATTTCAACTTATTTAACAAAGTCTCCAAGTTTAAGAAACATTACAAAATAAATGTTATTTTAGATTATATCTAAAATTATTTGATAAATTATCAAAGTTTGGTATTATTAAATTTTGGTATTATTATATATCAAGTCATTTTCCAAAAGATTATTTTATTGTTTTAGCTAAAAACAATTATCATTTAAAATAAAATAAAAATACATCTTTTATAATAAGAAGAATATGTATAATCTTCAATTCAAATAACAATGTTTCTACGACAAATTTGCCTAATTTTAAATTATTTTAGAGTATACTCAAACTTGATTATTATAGTACTTTATATTTTACTCATTATTTAAAAAATAAAAGTTTTTGGTAAAATCATCAAATAAAAGTTTATCAGAGAAGAAGTTATTTGAAAAGTATAATCATCAAATTAGATTATTTCAAATAATAAGATATTATTTGGCAAGGTTTCCAAATTAAAGAAATGTATAAAAAAAGATCTATGAAATACAATAACTTATTTTTAAAATAATTTTGAAAAAGGAATCTTTTGCTTAATCGATTTAATATATCAAATCATTTTAAAAATAAATATTTGCTAAATGTATTCATCAAGTTTATCAAAGTTATAATAGTATAATAATAAAATTTTATTTCTATAAAATAATTTAAAAAAAATTAATTTTCTAGTTCTTCAAAATTAAATTTAAAATAATAAAAATATTTTAAAAAATAAAACATAAAAAATAAATAATAAAAAATTAAAAATCCATTATTGTAAGCTTTCTAAGCCAAAATCATTTCTGAGCTTTAGTTCTATAAAAGAAAATAGATTTGGGAATTTATTTTATAATTTTATAATTTTTGAGTAAAATGACCAATTAAATTAGAGAAGAAATATTTACCAAATTATTAGAATAGCTTGTTAAGCTAAAACAATCTAATTATTTAAGTATTCTCAAAGAAGAATAAATAATTCCTTTGTCTAGTTTAAACAAGCACTTAATGTTTTAGTTTTAAAGAATTTAAGTTTGTCAATTTAATTTATAAGCTTATTAAACATAAAAAAGTATTTTAAATAAGTTATTTTAATAAATAAAAAAAATATAATTTATTTGGAAAGGTTGCTAAATTCAAGCATTAACTTTGATATAGTATTTCTATCAAAGATAAGTTTACCAATTTATTGGATAAGCTTCTCAAGCTTTAGAATAATTAAAAAGTAGTAATTTTTTCTAATTTATTTAGAAAGGCTATCAAATTTAAATAATTATCCAAATTAAAGCTTGTTATAGAATAAAATTTTGCTAATTTATTTGGCAATCAAATTTAATCTAAGCAACCACCTATATGAGGTTCTTCTAAAACCAATAAGTTTGTCTATGCATTACATAAGTTTGTCAAGCTTGAAAAACTATACAAATAAAGTACTATTAAAGAAGAAAGATTTGCTAAGTTATTTGGTAAAATTATAAATCTTAACTTATCTTTCAAATATAGTTATTCTAAAAAATATAAGTTTGTCTAATTATTGCATAAGCTGATCAAAGTTTGTAAATCACTCAAATTATGTATTTCCAAGACAAAGAGATTTATAAATTTATTTTGCAAGATTGTTGAGCTTGAATAACCATCCAAATTAAGGCTTCTTATAGAAGAAAAAATTACAATATATTTTGCAAACTTATTGAGTTTAATCAAGCACTTAAATTAAGATTTTTTCAAATATATATTTTTTTAATCTACTTAATTTTATAAAATTCTCAAGCTTAAAAAAGTAATTAATTAAATTTATTTTTTTAAAAAAAATTATTTTTATTTTTATTTAGCTAACTTTTCAAACTTAACCAACAATTAAAGTTAATTCTTTTCAAAGACGAAAGATGTATCAAACCATTAAGCAAGTTTTTCAAGCTTGAGCAACCATCTAAATTAAATCCTTCTAAAGAAGATAATTTTTTTAGTTTATAAGTTAAGCTTGTTAAGCTTAAGTAATCATCTAAATCAATTCATTTAAAAAAATATATTTTTTACTTTTTTCAAGCTTAATAAATTAAACTCTTTTAAATTTATTACTATTGATTCTTCAAATACTTTCCAAAAATCTCCATTACATATTAAAAATGATGACTCTATTTTTCTATTATACATAATATAATATAAGATTATTTCTAATAATAAAACTTAAATTTTTACAAGTTAAAACAGATATTTTTTTTATTATTTTATATATATTTTTTACTAAATTTTTGTAATAATTCTATATGAATATTTCTAGAAGATAAAATGGTAATTTTTTAATATACTTTTTGTACATATTATCATTATAATTAATTTCAAATATTTAATAATAAAAAATAATAGTAATATATTTAAGTACTTAAAATACTTATATTTCTAAAATTATTTTTCACTACAATATAAAAATTAAAAATTAAAATATATTCTAATATGTTATACTTAGATTGATTTATTTATTCAGTTATTATTAATAACATCATATATTTCCTTCTAACTTTGTAAAAACATTACACATATTCATAATTCATTAATTGATAACATGTTTATATTCCACATTTGTATGCGTCTAGATTCTTCTTAGCTTTTAACAAAACTTCAACTTATATCTCATAGTTAATCATTTATTTTTATTGCTTCATATTTCTCTAATTTTATCATTGATTAATAAACCAACATATATAAAATATTGTATATATCTTGCTTTATTTATTTATTTATTCATATCTATATTTGTAATATATTTTTTAAAAATTTTTGAAGCATCAAAGCTTTTTTTTAGAAGTTTTCAAATCTTACAATTACTATTATCTTTTTCTCCAATTTAAATTTCTTTCTATTTTAAAATTAAGTAGAATTTTTTTCCACATCTTAACTGCTTTTCTTGTTCTTAGAATGAGCGTATAAATATTAAACATAAAAGAAATTTATTACAATATTTTACAATTTGTTTGCTAACTTCAAGAAGGTCTTTAGATAATTTATTATCATTCATATAAAATAAGCTTTAAACAACTTCAAACTTATATCTTTATCATATTCTTTTATGTCTAATTTATAAGTCTTTCTAGAGCAGTCTTTTAGCACCTTCTAATTTTGAATTGTTTCAATTAATATGCTATCATTTTAGAATATAAAACATCCATAGATACAATATCATTAATTTGACTTTTATTCTTCACATCATCTAAAACCATGATAAATTTCTTCTTCACCAATAATCCTTTCATTAATATTTATGTTTCTTCTACATGTTTTGGTCTTGATTCAACATTACATTGTTTCAACATCTTATAAATTGTTGATAAACTAATATCTTTACTTTGAATACTTTCAACAAAGTATAATACATCATATATATATATATATATATATATATATATATATATTTCAAGTCATAAAATATGGTCTTTACTAATATAGTCTTTTCTATTACATTTATGTCAACAAAACATAATGCCATCATTCCTTCGTTGCATAGTTGTTTGATATTCAATACATGTTGTTCTATACCTATTAATTTGTCTCTATTTTTAATTATGTATTTAAAGAATCTTATCATAAAGTTAGTAAAAGAAAAAAATCTAATTATTAATTCTAATAAAGTATTTTAATTGCATGTTTATATTTTAATAATAAACTATCATTAAATAATTCATGAATAAATATAAACATCATGAAATCACTCTAATCATCTTAAGATATGCATCAAACAAACTTTGTAGCATGAGATTTATCAATATACCATCAACATTTCTATCTTTTGATTTATTCTTTTCACAATTTTCTTTCTTAAATGCTCTAAAATAAGGTGTTTGGACTACATCAATTTCTATCAAGTATTTCTTCTTCAATGTTGTGAGTCTCTTATAAATATTTCTTAAACTTGGTTTAGCTACATTTATTCTTCTATTACTATTATACTTTCTTGTGTTATTTCACAATTTATTTTTCATTCAAAGTCTAACTAATATTTGGTATTAAAATATATTTAGATCATTTCATTAAGGTGTTGCTTGTTAGAGGCTAAGTCTTTCTTAATTGTTACAATATATTTATTAAAATGTTATTTTCTTGTATTTAAGAAATTCTTAATTTGTTCTTTTATTTAATAAGATGAATTAGCCTTAAAAACTTTAACTTTGGTGCAAAGTTAAATAAGTTTTATAAATTTATCTTTTGCTTTTGAGATGGGACATTATAGCCTTATTTTAATATCTTGTAGAGTTGTCAAAATTTAGTTAATATTAGTTGTAGTAACACACTTTAGTTTTTTGGTAGTATGCAGCACCTTATTGGTATTCTTTTTGGAAGATTTAAAGATCATGCTAGTATCTATTCTTATGCTACTAATTTCTTAAGAACATTCATATTATATTTTTTCTTTAGAACTTGTTAATTTGTTATAAACTATTTTTGATGGATTCTTCAAGGCTCCTTCATTTCTTATCTTTGTTTAAATATGGTTGCTTCCACATCAAATGACTTTGCATATTTGTTGTTTTTATTGCCTTTAAATCTTTAATATATTTTACTTATTTTGGTCATGATTTAACTTTACATTTGATGTTGTTTATTTAGATTTATGAGTCTTCAACTTGAGGTACAAATTTGATGATTCCTTTTGTGACAATGATTGATTTTTTAAACTTTTATTACATAAATGATGCACCATTATATAGCTTCTTGTTCCTATTTTTCTTCTTTTTCTTTTTTCTTTTGGTAGTAGTAGAGAAGTGCCAAGAAATGGACTACTTGACTCAAGAAATTAATAGACAAGCATGCCCAATGAGCCAACAACATTTTCATTGCAATTATTATGATTGACTAGTATAAATCAAGTCTTCTTGTTGTAATAAGTCTTATGTAAAGAATAAATAGCTTTTGTTTGCTACTCTTTTGACTAATTTCTCTTAGAGCTACCATATTCACAAGTTTTAAGATTTGACCAATCAAAGTGTCTATCTTTAAATAAGAATACTTTAAATTTCTTTTAGTTAAAAAACTATTTTTTAAACATAGAATTCACTATTTTAAATTATTATTTTTTTAAATAAATAAATATATATATATATATATATATATATATAGCCACTTAAAAATTTAATATTCAAATTTTATTTTTATAATTCATTGTAGAAGATTCATAAAACAAAACTAATGCCTCTCTTTACCACTTAAAACATCCTATAGAATAAATACAAATAATAATCATTTTCAAATCATCCCAATATATTTCATTAAACAAATTTCAAGCTTTAAGAAAGTGCCTTCAATTGTATATATATATATATATATATATATATTGAGTTTTTCTATATATATATATATATATTGAGTTTTTCTCTATATATATATATATATATATGCATACATACAAATACATTACAATTTATGTCTTTTCTGCAAGTTGTGTGAGGCTTTCAGCTAGTTAACTAATTCTTGGAGCTTGGCCAATGAGAAAACTTCTATATGTCTTCCTCTTGTAACTAACTAAGCTTCCTTATTATAATACAGATAGCATTGCGCCATCACATTCTACCCCCAAAGGGAGAGATGGATGTACAGTGGGATGTTACCCCTGGTTGCTATTTGCGCCTGAACCCATCAACCCATCTACCCATTTATTTTAAATCCAAGCGGAGATTCCGAGATTCCTGTGCACCCAGTTGGCTCTTCCACTCCGAGTACTTCGTGGACTCGGCAACCCAAACATTCAGAGACAGACAGACAAAGCAAAGACAGGCATATACCCACTCAGGAAATCCTTACTATCCCTTGTGGAGAATCCTGCGAGCTCTCCAGTGAAGGAAACACTCTTCATTCTCATCAACAAAAGCAAAGGTAGGCGAGGAAGGCTTGGGTGGTGTTCAGAGACAGGGATCCAGCTCGAAGGTGGGCACATCTAGTGATGAAAGCCTTCCCCACTTTGTTGAGAGTTGAAGTGGTGCGTTTTGGGATTCGCTGTGAATTACGTATAAAAAACGGTGCCGCAGACCTTGTGTGAATATAGAATTGGGTCTGGAACTGGTTGGGTTGGAACCTAGGTGGAGACCGTGCAGCTCGTCAGTGCTATGCACGAGGACGACGGCGGTGGCTAGATGGAGAATCACCATTATGACTTTGCCATGTGGTTTTGTTTAGGTTTCGCTTGCATCGACACAAACATAATCGAGTTTAGTCTATTGGGTAGTTTTGTAAAGGGGAGATGCACATTGTGGAGAGTAAATGATCGTGCTGTGTTTGAGCCGAATCTGCATGACTGGTACTTCTATGGTTGTGATTGGAAACGTGAGATATTGCAATCGTGGTGTTATGTAGAAGGGAGGACAATTGAAGCAAGCTGGATCTTCGGCTTCTGCATCCGATTTCGGACGCACTTGCGAGTGCGTCTCGGGACTATGTGTTCGTGGTGAATCCCAGTGGTACGTGTTGTCGTCACCGTGTTGTGCCGCCTCGCTTTGTGATGGTACAGGAGGGACAGTGTGACAGAGCCTCCTGGGTCTGGTTGTGATGTAGGCGCCAATGGGCGGACTGGACAGCAATGGAAGAGAATGCTCCCGGACTTGAGTTCACGTCTTGGTAGACAGTGTAATGTACGCACCGCTTGTCTGAATCAAATCTCGTCTTATTATATGTGTTTCTCGAATTGGATTTATCTGAGACAGTTGGCACTTCACTAAGTCAATCACTTCCAGGAAAACTTATTCGCTGTGAGTGTGGTCTTGTTCGAAGTTGGAGGAGGATAGTGAAAAATTGCCTATTTTTTGAATTCGATGCAGTGATTCGAATCTTGAGACTTGCGAAGGATTAGGGTTCTCCGGTTGTTTCAGAAGCATTGCCATTCAGACTTGTTGATGATCCCATTGCCCTTGGCAGATTCGCGAGGAGCTTACGACTGGCCCTCTCCATGCAATTGAAATTGCAAGGGAGGTGCGCACTCTAATTATTATTGTCCACTTTGTTCTGATTCACGGGTTCTGATATAAAACTTCTCCTCATTTTACATGGCATTTTGGAGAGTGTGTGTGTGTGTGTGCGCGCGCGCGCCAATCTTCTCCTCTTTGGTCGGAACATGCTTTTTTATTCTTTTATTTTTATTTTTTATACTTTGAGTGAGGAGTATCATTTTTCTATAAACGGACATCTTCTCAGTATTGCTGCTATGTCTTTATCAGGCTGTCCGTGATGGAGCTGCAGCTGTGATTGCCGTAGGAGGGGACGGCACACTGCACGAGGTCTTGCTGACTAAACCAACTTCCACCTATTTTATAATTGCTTATCGTTTTGTTATGCCTTTGCTTAAGTTGAGGATGAGCAATGTAGCATTTGCGAATTATGAAATTGCCTCCTCATGTGGGGTGCTGACTATGCTCTATATTTGAGTAGGTGCTCAATGGGTTCTTTGAAGATGGGAAGTTGGTCCAATCTCGTGAACTTCATCCTGGGCCGCCGACGGCCCTTGGGGTACTAATACTCGATCCATTTGATCATTCGAGATTCCATTGGTAATGGTTTTCGTGCACGTAGTTCTGCTCCATATGCTGAGATATGTAGTGAAGCTTTTTTAGCACCGAATATCATCGCACCGTCTTTGACAGGTAGCGACGAGCATTTACCTTATGTTTGCTTTGTGGTCAGGAAGAACATGAATGAATAGAGTAGGCTACTTGACCTTATATCGGATTTTTTCTAAGGTTCTCAGTGCTGGTTGTTACTTTATGACAGCTGATTCCAATGGGTACTGGCTCCGACCTTGCGCGTCATTTCCGCTGGTCAGTGTCAGAACTGTAGCCCATCAGTGACCTAGTAGTTGTGTAGTTTCAACCTGAGTGATCTCTCACCATTCCATACAAGTTCAAAATCTTTTGCTTTTCAAGATTTCTACAGCCAGTGTCAGTCCTCTGCATCATTGGGTTGACGTGTTGGAGGAGAGTGCCAGTTGAATATTCGTTCTGTATTACTGCAAGATATAGGTATCGCTTTCAGTTCCTGGTGTTGAATTTAACGTGAATATTCGGTCACGTGGTTGGCTTGTTTGCGCAGGAAATTGAATGACAAATACCAAGCTATTGATCGTCTTGTCAAAGGTGAGTTTCTAATTTGTTATGAATCATACGACATTCTCAAACACTGAATAAATTCTCCTCTTTTGCGGTATCCTTTTTCTTTTCTTTTCTGTTCCTTTCTTTTGCTTTTTCTTTTCTTTCATTCATTTTTCGTCTTTTGTTTTTTTATATATCATCATCATCATCATCATCATCATTCATTTATTTACCAATTGCGCTGATGCAGGTCAGAAGCGGAGGATTGATGTGGGTAGAGTGCAATTACCTGAGGACAGAATCGATCGATATTTCCTTAATGTGGCCAGTCTCCATTTGTAAGTCAGATGTGACTCGATATGCCGATGCTTGTGGAGCTGGGGTGATCGACTGCCATGTACTGATATTACTTTCTGTTGTTCATAGTGTCATTAGCTATGTAATTGAGAGGACCCAATTGTCTGGAATTATGTGAACTTGTTACGAACCTGTTAAATTATGAAATAGACATTCGTAATGGACATATATATATATATATATATATATACAGAGAGAGAGAGAGAGAGAGAGAGAGAGAGAGAGATAGAGAGAGAGATAGAGGTCGAGAGCAAGAACCTAATTAATATCTATTGTTATCAATTTAAGTAGATTGAAAGCTAGGTTATGTTTTAAGATTTTTGTGACCGTTTGTAGGAGTGCGAAGGCAGGCCATATTGCGGCCATGTACAAAAAGCTAGGCAACTTCTGTTATGTTCTTGGAGCACTTAAGGCCTTCCGGGCTCACGAGGATCGGGACCTGAGGATGAGGGTGAGATATTGGCAGACCTAACTTTCATTTGCGTGAATGGACTTATTTGCTAGGCTACCGCACTGGTTTAATCGGAGTATAAAAGTGCCCCTTTTTACGTCAAATAATTAAAGCTGCTGGGTCCCGCTGATCATTTCTAGTATTCCTTTATAGTCGACGTGCTTGTTACAATATTATGATCAACACACGTCACGACACTGATGCGCATTCAATACTGCTTAATATGTGAGGATTTTTGGACATGTTTGTTATTTTCCAGATAAATGGGGGTCCATGGACTGTAGTTCCGAAAGTCACAGCTGCGTGTGTTGGGAATGCCAAGTATTTTGGTGGAGGAATGAAGATCGCACCCACTGCTGACCCCTTCGATGGGAGTTTGGAGGTGAGAATGCATTTTACCAAGGATTTAGGCCGGTACTGTGAGCAATCATGAATTCATCACACAAAAGTCAGCGTCTTCTGTTCAAGGATACTTGTAGCTAATCTCTTTCTTCATTGTATAAAAGTGCAGTACATGCCATCAGGTGAACATACTGACTGTTTCCTTGAGATGAAATTTGAAGGCTTAGCATAAGCATTTATATTCCTGTGATCGTGGTTTATTATAGGTGGTATCGCTGGCGGATTATAAGTGGTATGATTTCGTTTTGAAGATGCATATGTTGTATCAAGGCACTCACGTGCATCTGGACAAGGTCACCACAACTAGGTACTCAGTTTGCAAGCTTTCTATCACATTATGCTGGTTATGGTTTTGCAATAACAGCCAGCAGTTGAGCTTTCCAGTTTCATCTATTTGGAATTATGTGAAAGAGTGGCTTATAACGCTGGTAATTTTCATGAATCTTGGCAGTGTTCACACCTTCGAGGTGGAGGAGATAGAGTACCAATCCAGACGGGAAGATGTGTTTGTGCAAGCTGATGGCGAACACCTAGGTTTCCTTCCTGCAAAATTTTCGATCTTACCTGAACAATTAAACTTCATTCTCTAACGCAATTGACTGACCAGATTCATCTTTTTCTAAGGGGAAAAAATTCCCCTTAGGTCTTTGCTCTTCGTGGCTCATGTTGATTCTTCTTCGGCCTTATGGGCTTACATTGGATGCGATAAAAAATATATAAAGACATTACAAGAGTTCAGTTGTATAAATTGTGTTCTTTGTAAAACCCTCTACAACCACAAAAAGACTGCATGCACTTCAGGTCTCGTAGTAATTGCATGTTTTGAAGCCTAAAAATGATATTTTTGCAATGTTGTGTTTGATATGATGGTGTGTGGATTGTGTTCAACACTTGTGTGTTGATTGCAGGAATCATTGAATGAGAATTTTAATTGGGTAGCAACTTGTTGTCCATGTTTTGTACACAAGATGCATGCGAAATGTGTTGACATTGATTTGAAATATGTTTGTGGTATTTTATGTAAAATATGGGCATGTTGACATGGAATGTTAAAATGAAACCAAAGTAGCATAGGAATCAAACATTTGGAATTGTGGAGTTGATGGTCTAAGAAAGTTTTAGAGTGCAAATTGGAAGAAGGATGAAAGAAGTTGTTGGCAATGTGAGAGGGAAAATGAGTGAATTGTGGGAGAAAAAAGGGATTGCGAATTAAGAAGAATGGTTTGGAAGAAGTGATTGTTGAGGGTGGACAGTGTTTGGAGAAGAAAAGGAAGAGAGGGAGAGGGGTGGAGAGTTTTTCGGGGGTGATAATGCGGTGCAAGAAGTGGGTGGGGATGGAAGAAGCGGTGAAAGGGTGGGTGAGTATAGGGTGGGCAGGGAAGGGGAGCGGTAAGTTTGGACGAATTCTGCAGCAAGGCGGGCAAATCTGGGCGTCCACTTGGGCCTCCACGTCAGCGAACTCAAGAGCAGGGACCACCAACAATCCACAATTCAGGAAATCGTCGGCGTGGGTGACTGCGTTTGCCGGGAGTCGGACACGGGTCCATTGCTTGGAAGGTAATTATCCTGGCCGTTGGACTACAAACGCCCTCCACGGTGGTGAGATGCCACGGGTTGGGGGCCAATGAACCCATTTTCGCGGCGGAGCTCTCCTATCCGTCTCCCTACACCCGGGAACTCACCACCGCAACCCCACTTCGCCCTCGAACATCCACACCCACATGCACGCCCTCACTCCCGACGCCAGTGTGCACCCCCTCCCCTCCTGCACTGCACCCACATCCTACCCCATCGTAACCGCACCCCGCAGCAGCGGCGCAACCAACCCATCACCTTTGTTCCCACTTTGTCCCTCCCATCTGCGCTGCCCAGGGGAAGCTCCCCTCCACGACGCCTGGAAAGCGGCATCCACCCCACCTATGTACACCTACTTTGCTCATGTCTCGGGCAACTAACTCACTTTCGCTTCCTTCTCCGCTCCAGCCCTCTGCGCTGAACTCACGCCCTCCCGCATTCCCCCTCGGTCAGACCACTTGGTGCGGGGTTTTCCACTTCCGAATCCGGTAGGGTGCTGGATTTGTCACGGAGTCACTCGGCGTGGCGGCCGTGGCCCCGTTGCTGGACGACTCTCGACCCACCTCTGCGACCGGTCCTGCGATCAGGGGCGCATGGTAGCTTTGAATTTGCGTCTTGTGTCAGGTCCGAGTGTCGTGGCTGCCTCGACTAGTTCTGCGGCTCTTCCGGGACCAGTGCCGAGGTCAGCATCACACCATGGACAACTCGATTCCGCCGTGTTCGGTCAGACCGAGGTCATCTGGACTGGACTCCGTCATCACGCCAGCCTCATCCACAGCAGCACTCTCTTCGTCATGCCGCTGCCTGGGTTCGCGACTCTGATCAATGTCCTCGCGTGCATCTCCTGGGGGTCACGGCATCCTCGCGTGCATCTCCTGGGGGTCACGGCATCCTCGCGTGCATCTCCTGGGAGTCACGGCATCCTCGCGTGCATCTCCTGGGGGTCACGGCATCCTCGCGTGCATCTCCTGGGAGTCACGGCATCCTCGCGTGCATCTCCTGGGGGTCACGGCATCCTCGCGTCGGTCGCTACAGTCGTTACCTCCGTGCCCTTCGAGGCAGTCGACGAACCACCGTCGCTCGCGACCGTCACGTCACCATAACATGCCTCATTCATAACATTATCCATCCTCACTGCACCCAAGTTTAAGCTCAACTGATGGCAATTAGTTAAGGAAAAAGTTCATTTTTATTTATTGCACTTTCAATACGATTTTTTATATTATTTCTTATGCTTCTCTCACCCTTAGGCTACTCTCACCATCCTTTGATTACCAACTTTATTCTTAAATAGACATGTTTATGAATTTTGAACACACTGTAACTCTTTATTTGGATGAGGATCTATTACAGATATTCATCTTATTTGGTAGACCATGATTATGTGAAAATAGTTTTTGATTAACCAGTGAAACAATATATATATATATATATATATATAATATCCTCCAAACAAAGCATGACTCTCACATCATTGAAAAAAAAACACTTCGAAAAAGGACAAAATGGGAAATGCAAATGAGCACGTGCAAAGGGATGGTACGTGAGATTTGAACTGATGGCATCGTAGAGGTCGAGAGGACAAATCCAGCCGCGGAAGCTCTGAAACACTTCCTCCAAGAGCAGTGGTAGTAGCGCAACGGTTGCCAATCTCCATTCCACAAAATGAAAATGAGCAACAGAAGAGGACAAAGCTTTTAGGGTTAGGATCGAGTTGAACTGCATTCTTAGGGCTGCCGTCGTCTCGGTGGTGTTTGCTCACGGGCTTCGGTCTGTTTCGGACTCAGATTCAGTCACGGTTTCTCAGATCACTGTGCACAATTGATTGCTGTGAACTTGCAAATCGTTTTCGTTTCTCCTGCAGGTTCATGCTATCCAAAAACAATTGTCCGAACTACGATTTTGTCTCCACATAGCGTGCGGCCCGATTCACAGTGGCGGTAGGAAGTGGGTGAAAGCGTTTGGGAAGCTGCTGTGTGCGTGATGAGAACAGGAAGAAGTTGCTTGGATTCAGAAGTCGGCAGGATACTGAGAACGCACGAAGATGTAGTTGTCTACCTTACCAATAGCAGATGGTGCCTCTAGAAGCAAAGGGTTCGTCCTTGCCTTAATGCTGAAAATCTGGACCTAGAAAATTGTTGGAGAAAGAGTGATTGTTAGGATCTTGCTAGGTGCAATCGTGGTTGACGGAGGAGATTTTAGCGTGTGGAGAATGTCTCTCATGAGTCCGAAGCGGCCGCTATCTTTGTCTCGAGACGGCACTTCCGTTTCGTTACGCGATGCAGTGCAAACGACAGGTCCGAAACAAGGCGCCAAGCCTACTGAGGTGTATGGGTTCGTAGGCGCGATCTCTACCCTTGTTGGATTCATGGTGTTTATGATATGGGCCTACTTGCCTGAGCCTTGGCTCCACACCATGGGCATCACGTATTACCCTAATCGATACTGGGCAATGGCTATTCCTGCCTACGTGATGATTGCCATCTTTTTCGTCGTCACTTTCTACACGAGTTTGAATTACATGGCCACTCCGCCACCTTACTCTCTCAACACTTTGTTCGATGAGTACACGCGAAGCCCTATCACCGGCACGAGTGGATCGCAGTTTTTGCATGAATCCGACCGACCTATTGATTCGATCTCCGACCTTCCAATAACCACCGTCAACGCCCTGGTCTTTGGAACTAAGGTGAGTTAGACTGTGCTTTCACTTGGAAGTTTGCAATCACTTTGCAGGGTCACAGTGCTGTAGTTGATAATCAAAGTTCTGCACTGCCTGTTAGCGATTTTCCCGATGTAGTGAAATAGCATCTGAGATCGTTCGGTGGTCTATACTTGAATCCTGTTCTGTACTAAGGTTAGATCTCATACCCCACATGATCACCATTTCCGCTTGATGAGGAGAGCTCTGGAGGCAGCAATGTGATTTCTCTGAGAATTCTCCAGTAAGGGTCAATTCAGATTGTAAATTTCATAACGGGTTTGAACAAGTAACATAGCAGCATTCTCATGTTACGAGACTCTAGGGTTAGATCTGTGAGGCATGTTACCTTCGTGCCATGGAGCTCGGTTGCTTCTAAGCCGGTTTTTACAATCCCCATCAGTAGCGCTCAGTTCTCAAGACAAAAGCCCATTTCCATTTGTGGTCTCTTTAGCTCGGGACTTCGAAAGATCCCATGTAATGCTGCAGCTTCATCACCTATTGCAATTTTTGGCAATTTTGTAACGAAAAAAATGAATTTCAATAAAAAGGATTGTTATCTGAAGATGATAAGATCAAAGATGACCACAGGCATCAAACTTTGTACCTAGTTAGATTGCTGACAATGACACATATGCAACTGTGTGTTTTATACCACCATGTCTGTCTCAGAGACGAACGCATGTCTCATATATTCTTCTTAATTGAAGGTGCATCGGCATCTGTAGGCCCAAAGCGAATGTACCCATCACTGAACTCACACCGGACAGATGTTATCAGTGCCACAAACCATCTCAACAAGCTAGCAAACACACACCCACTCTCACACCACAGCACAAAGTCTTCCCCTCGAGTTGCACAAGCAGGCAGCCATCAGCTAGTCGTGCATTGCAAGCTCGAGGGAGACGATTCGGACTTCAGGAAGCGCAACCCAGAATCGTTGAGAAAGAAATTTTAGAAATTTGGGATAACTAGTAACCTACCGACTGGCGCATTCGTGCACTCAAACTCCATCGTGACTTGGTTTTGAATCACGTCTGTGCTTTTGGGATTTAACATCCTGCTCACCACATAGCAACTTTCGCTTCTGTACATTGTAGTTATACAAGGCACATGTGGAAATCTAAAATTAGATTCCGCAACAGAGTTTCTTAAAGGCTTGGTCAGAATTCTAAACCAAACAAAATGAGTCGAAAACCATAATTCACTAACCCAGAACCACTTCAATGCAATACATCCTTCACACAAACACATTTACCAATAAAATTTGATCTAAGGGTTATGGGTCACACTAATTTTTGGCCAGGGTTTTATGCTGATCTTTACACACAGTCAGGATACCACTGTTTGGTGATTTGAATCAGTGGTAAGGAAAAATGGACGAACTGCCTTGCAACGAAATGCTAGTTCTGCGGATGCTTGGACTGATGTGCTTGCGCGGAGTCACTCCAGCGGGCACTGTAACGACGTCCCTACGTGTAGCTTCAATCAAGCCGTCGTAGTTCTCAGGGAGCGCTGAGTTGTATCTGGAATTGTTGTCCTCTGCTGAGGTGCGCCTTGCCTTGCTCAGCCGCCTTGGTTGCTCACTGAAGAGTCTCTGAGAGCTGATGCTCCGTCCGCTATGGCAGCATCACAGAGTGTGAGAGTTTTCTGTTTCTGGGCAATTGCTCTTCTATTGGGTTTCTCCAGCGGCCGTGCAGATGATCATGTAGTAGAACCTGCTGCAGCCGGCCGAGTTTTGGAGCTTACCGACGATAATTTTGAGACTGAAATCGCTAAGCATGATCACATCTTGGTGGATTTCTACGCGCCTTGGTGTGGCTTCTGCAATCGCCTTTCGCCTCAGGTAATTCTAAACCCTTGTAGGGCTCTAATTTCCCGTTGAGGTCTGTATACTCAATGTAAACATCTGAGCCACGCCGTAGGCAGTACAACCTTGAGGAAATCTAATCTCAACTACTCTCTCGTCGTCAGAATCTAGAATCGAGCTTTTCATATTCAGTGGGTGTAATAGAGATTTAGCTCATCCGGACGTCTACGGTGAACACGATCCGATTTCGATTAGGTTTAGAAGGGATGCCAAGGTCCAGCCCTAGTTATTGCTGATAATCGGATTGAAGGGATTGTAAGATCATTGCATTGGCTCTTAAGAGAGTCCTATTCTGTTACATGATCTAAGATTATTGCATCAAATTAGGTTTCTAATTGGCTCTGTGTCGTGTGATGTTTCACAGTTGGACATCGCAGCTCCTGTTCTAGTTCAAGGTTCAAGGCCAATCTTTTTGGCGAAAATTGATGTCGAAAAACACTCAAAGGTTGGCTCTAAATACAAAATCAGGTATTCTCTCGTTTTTAGACCCCTCAAGTTTTTAATACTCTTATGCTTCACTTGCAGAAGAGCCTCTGAAGACAAGATCGTGATTATAACTCATTCTTGAAGGTATTCGGCGTTCCTGCTCGACGGATCATCCTTTGCGAGATGCTGTTGGTTACTTAATGAGATCTGAGGTTTGAGGTTAACAGCTTGACTAATTGTTTTGTTGCCAGTGCCTTTCCTACTCTAAAGTATTTTATCAAGGGACTCCCTACAGATTACACCGGCCCTCGTAAAGCTGATGGCATAATAACTCACTTGAGGCGGTTGTCGGCTCCTTCGATTGAACAGTTGAATTCTGAGGCAGAATTGCACGGATTCGTCAAATCAATTGGGACTGAGATTCCCCTCTTTATTGGCTTTGGGCTTAAAGCTACTGACTTAGAGGAATTTGCCAACAAGTACCGATCTAAGGCATGGTTTGCGGTTATGGAAACGTTTTCCGAAGAAATTATGGAAGACTTCAATTTTGACAAAGGTCCTGCACTTGTAGTGACGCGTGGGGAACATGGGGAGAAAACTACGTTTTATGGTCCTTTTGAAGGTCAGAGATTCTTACTCTATGACCTAGAGGCTTCTGTCAAATCACTGGACTTGGTACCATTGTACGGGATACGTCAAGCTGATTTCAAGTTGTGTGGTTGTGGCAGCGGAGGACGTTACTGAATTTGTTCTTCTAAATCTGCTTCCTCTAGTTTCTCATATGACTCCAGAGACTTTAAGATCAGTTAGGGAAGACGGGCGTCCAGTCGTGGTAGCAGTTCTGGAATCTGAGAGTGCACCCGAAGACAAAGAATTCATCAAGAAACTGAAAATGGCTGCTCCAGCTTATCGCAAATTTGTGTTCGCGTATGTGGTTGCTCCTCAGTGGCCAGAGTTTTTGCGTCCTTTCTGGATCAGGAAAGAGACCAAGCTTCCTACAGTGTTTGTCTGGACTGATGACACTTTTGTGGTGGTGAGTTTGCAACTTACATTTCTTAATTTGAACACAAAGACAATCTTCTTTCATGCTCTGTTTAATCGCCTACTTTCTTTATCTCATTTCCACTCATACAAAAACCCTTTCCCCAATTAATCATCTCCCCTTGTAGACGCTTGCTTATTAGATGAATAAAAACCGCCAGGGGAGGTGCTGTTGACATCTTTCACATCCAGTTGTTTTAATTTTTTTGCGTAACAATTTTGTCGGGCTGGTATCAGAGCGTTTGCAGTACACTTGCAGTCGATCTTGTGGGGTATCGGGTTGGGTAGAGTTCTGTCATCTGTGACAACTTCGTGCTAAGCAACGAGTGTGAACATGCTATAGAGCAACAAGTCCGATGCTTTCATCGGCTCCTCGGTGGAGACAGAGCTGTATAATCTCCTGCAAATGTACCAAGACAACGTCCTGAAGCGACACAAGATGCGGACCCCATCGTTGTGGGAACGAGCCACTGCCAATCTACCCCTCACAGTCGGTTACGGATTCTTGTGCCTAGGCATCCTGATCTTGTTGCTCAAGGGTTGGGACACCCGTGCCCATCAAGAGGTTCGAGAAGAGCACAGCGATGCTACAGGTGGAAGTTCAGCTGAGGGCAGAGGTTCCAGAGGTGACAAGAAGGAGGACTGATTGATCTCATACCACCAATCCATAGTCTTCTGCACATCAGGTGATAGGCCCCACTTGATCAGTTACTCAGTCTGTATCTTTTGACAAGAGTATGGATTTTTTTTATAAAATGAGAACCTTTGTACAGAAAAGGAAGTTGCAGTGAGAGTCAAGTTTTAATTGTTGATACTCTTGGTGGTAATTAAAGAGTTTAGAGTTTTTGCAAGGCTGTCAATTTTCAGACCCTGTTTTTGGGTTCGATTGTCTAGCCCTCCATTCAATTGACTCGCTGAAGTCTTCACCCATAGGGCATCCAAATCAGGCTGTGGGATTTTTTCTATTTTTTATTTTTTATTTTTTCAGATTTGTTTTTCAATTTTTTTTGGCTTGTCTGAAGGTTAGGTCTCCATATCACACGGTTTATGTCTAATTTTCTGCAAAATGTGCGATATTTCGGTGATACTTAACATTGTATGCTCTACTTGGTGTCAAAGCTTCTTTCACAACGCAAATGACATCAGTAAATGGTTGAATAGGAAGTTTTGAATGTATGGAATTCTAAAATAACAATACTGATAATTCTCTTTTCCTTGTTAATTAATGTAAAGATTCAATGCTTATTGGTAGTTTATTTTCATCATTATGTTCCAGTGTTTCTATTAATCTTTCTTTCCGGTTGACATTATCTTCAAGATTTTTTTTTTATAACACAATTATCATATTATGTTTCATGTATATTGTGATGTATTGAGAAGGTCATGTATTTAAGTTACAATCTTTCCTTGTCCATAGAAGCGTAAATTTTTATATTGGTTTTTGTAGTGAGAAGGACCCTTTTTGTTTCTAAGATGGTCTCACATGTTGTACGTAATTCTACTCTGGTGTTACAATTTAGGATTAATTTTTAGCATGCTCACACAATGACAGGTTTATTAAATTCTTTCTTAACATTTGTTCAAAGTAGGTTAAGACGAACAAGTACAATAAATGGTTTTGAATAAGGATTATCCATTCCATTTCACTGTGCTATTTATTTACCTTTATATAGATGTGCAACTCTTAAGATATTGTTAATCGCTAAATTACCTTAACAAAATTGATTGTATTTTTTATAAAAAGTGTATATTTAGCTATTCTTAAAATCAACAAATGTTCAATTAAACTTTTTGTTAACTAGATCTTAGACCAACTCCAACATTCATCTTTTTCCTTGTTTGAAAAACAAAAACATTGTTTAGCTTGCAAAATTTGTACTACCTAGCTTAAGGAAAGACAACCCATATATTGGATTTTTTTTATTGTTAAAAAATACAAACAGATTTGTGATACATAATTTTAGATTTTTTTTGAAATAAAAAATTTTAAATCAATAAAAGAATCCTTCTAAAATTTCTAAAACTACATAAATTTATAGTTGAAAAAATAAATGGATTTATTTAAGTAAATACTATTGGTTATATAGTTTTCATGTATCATCTTAATTTGAATTTTAGGAACAACTTAAAAAATAGTTTAAAAAAATAATAATAAAATCACAATATCCCCCCCTCTCTCCTTGCAATCCTATCAACCAAAAAATCATTCTCATCTCCAAACATTAAATCCTTGATATCGAAAATATCCAGGCCGTCATAAAATCCACAGGACAATTGCAACAGGAAATGTTACGATGGTGACGTCGACATATCAGTTTCGCGGTAAGGAACAAAATAAATTCATCCATCAAGCCAAGTTTCTGTTCATCGATGCAACCAAGGCTTTCAGAATTTGCAGTGTCCGAAACCCTAATCTGGTGCGCTGTTGTGGAAGGGTAGTAAAGCTGGTGCTGGAGTCTGTTGCTCCCTCTTTCGCCATCGAGCCGGGTCGTAGTTCTCCCCATTTGATCGCCGAGACCGTCGCTGCTCGTCTCCACCCCTCCACCATGGTACCTCTCCTGCACGCCTACTGCACTCATTGTTTCGTGTGCTTCCTTTTTCTTTTTCTCGAATTGTATTTGTTGTGTTGTTTGACACTCGATTGTAACCCTGCTTGTGTCGTCTCGATGCCGAATCTCATGGCAGGCGGACGCTGCCGAAGTTGAGGTTGCACAGCCCAAGAAGAGAACGTTTAAGAAGTTCACCTTCCGAGGAGTGGATCTAGATGCTCTCCTTGACATGAGCATGGATGAGCTCGTTGAGCTTTTCCACGCTCGCGCCCGCCGCAGGTTTTCTTTCTTTTCCTTTTTCTGTAATTCTTTCTCTGTTTCAGAAGTCCCCATTACAACACTTCTGTTAGGTCATTGCCCGTAAACATTAGAGCTGCCTGGTTGGTCGTTGGTTCTGCTTAGTCTTATTTATAAAGACTAATAAGATCAAATGGCATCAGTAATGCCAAACGTCTACTTCTAAGATGGGTTGCATGTGCGGTATGTAAGTGCGATGTTAAGGGTCTAACCTGCGCACGTAGCCACAATGCATAGTTGCAGCCGTCATTTATTGGATGCCGAATAAAGCCTAAACTTTGATCTCCGCTTATATAGGCAAAGAGTATGGGTCATGCCATAAGTTATCGAAACTGTTTTCATTCCACTTAAATGTATCATTTCTGGGGTTGGTAGTTCTTAGCTAGATTCATTTATATCGGAGACCTCTCCACAGGATGGATGTAAGCTTATTAGGCATAGACTTCCCTCACTTACGCTTATTTCAGATGGTACTGTGTCATTCTACAAATCGTGTGATAAACATTTATGATGACACAAAATGTAATTGAGCCAGATATCTACAATGATTTTGGCAGGTTTCAGCGCGGATTAAAGCGCAAGCCCATGGCTTTGATTAAGAAACTGCGCAAAGCTAAGCGTGAGGCACCAGCTGGCGAGAAGCCTGAACCTGTGAGGACTCACCTCCGCAACATGATCATCGTTCCTGAGATGATTGGCAGCGTCATTGGTGTTTACAATGGCAAGACCTTTAACCAGGTGGAGATCAAGGTATAGTGAATCTATGCCTTTTTCATTAATGATCCCATTTGGCATCAAACACATTTTATCAATGTGGACATCGACAACTGTCGGAAGTTCTGCGCATCCCTGGTTTGGGTTGTTGAAGAAAAGATTAGAGACTTGAAGTTCTGAATTTAATTTTGATTTCGTTGTTTTGCAGCCTGAGATGATTGGACACTACTTGGCAGAGTTTTCCATATCGTACAAGCCTGTGAAGCATGGTAGGCCCGGTATCGGAGCTACCCACTCCTCCCGATTTATCCCTCTCAAGTAGAAAGAGAGTATTGGGAGTAGCTGGCACTTGCATATCTTTCTGTTCATACCAGGCCGAGATTGGTCGATAGTGTGAGAAATTTTGGTGTAACGCTGGTTAATCAAGTGCTTCTCTGGTTTGGTGGATGCATTTTATTCTTTGTATCCTTCAGGGTTAAATTCATTAAAACATGATGTTGACTTTTTATCTGGAGGTTTTAACTTTTCACAACTGATTTGATGCTTGATTTATTACTTTAATGCAATGTTTAAGTTCTCTGTGAAGATGGGTGGCATATACATTTGATCCACTCAGATTTGTGTGTTGCTCTTATCACTGATTTGGAATCTCTCCAAAACCTCATCTGTAGTACCGGAAATCAGAAAATCACTTTAGCAGATCCCTCCCAAGGTAGAACCCAACCTTTTCCCAGTTCACGCTCATGTCCTTGGAGATTCGGGGAGAGACTTTATGATTCTTGGCTTTGAACCAAATACTGTGAGCACACCATTCTCTACCTTTGTTTTCACCCCATCCACACGAGCGTTACTGGAAAAGTCTCTGGTACATGGTGTTTTCGCCCTAAAAAGTGTAAAATGGTGGAATGTGTATTTCATCTTTCCTAAAATCACGTGGCATAACAAAAATAAAAAGAGGCCCTTCTGCTTTAGGGCTGTAACTAACATTTACAAGAAAATTGCCTCTTCCAATCATGATGCACAGATATTGTTCAAAGTGAGGACATCAGAACATTGTACAATACCTATTAGTTTCTCACTGAACACATTTGATAGAAGTACAACTCAATTTGTTTGAGGTTTGCTAGAGGTTTTATGAAAGAATAGAAACGTCTTTTTTACATGTCTCAAAATACAAGTATGATAAGTGAACAATTATTTTCTATTTTGCAACATCAAGGATCAAATGGATACACCCAATTTATTTGGCAATGATGTCAAGCTTGAGAACCTAAGAAGATAAGTGAAGGCAAAGTTATAAAGTTGTCCAATTCATTTAGAAACAATTGGCAATGGTATCAAGCTTAAGCACCAATCTAGATCAAGTGAAGTCCAAGATGTAAGGTTGTCCAATTCATTTAGAAACAATGCCAACCATAAATACATATATAGATCAAGTATAGTCAAAGATGTAAGATCTTTCAATCAATTTGGCAAAGAGATTATCCTTGAATATCCATATAAATTAAAAATAGTCAAAGATATAATGTTGCTCAATCCATTTGGCAATGAAATCATTCTTGAGCAACCATTTTAATTAAATGTAGTCAAAGTTGTAAATTTGTATAATATATTCAACAATGATATTAAGCTTGTCAACTTATACAAAGTAGGTGTAGTCAAAGATGCAAGATTGACCAATCTATTTAGCAAAAATGTTAAGCTTAAGCAAACTTATACATCAATAATATTAAAGGATGTTGAGTTGTTAATATTCTTTTAAATTTTAAAACCAAGTAAATGAAGTATAATAAAAAAAGATAAGGTTTTTTAATCTATTTGATAATGACATCAAACTTGAGCATTAGTATAGATGAAGTATAATCAAAGATGTAAGATTGGCTAATATATAATCAAAAATATCAAGATTGGCTACCTATTTAAATTAAGTGTAATCAAAGATGCAAGATAGTCTAATCCATTTGGCAATGAAGTTATGCTTAAGTACTAATATTAATCAAGTAAAATAAAAATTGTAAGGTTGTCTATTCTAATTGGTAATGATATCAAGTTTAGGCACTAAAGTAAATCAAGTGTAGTTTTAGATATAAGGTTTTTATGTATATTTAGCAATGATGTCTATCTTAGAGAATAATTTAAATCAAGTGAAATTAAAGATTTAAGGTTGCTTAGTACCTTTGAAAAAGATGTCAAATTTGAGTACTATTTAAACTAAACATAGTCAAAGATGTAAAGTTTTCCAATCTATTTAGCAAAGATATTAACTTCAAGTTCTTATTTAGAATAAGTGCAATCAAAATTGTAAGGTTATTCAATCTAATAAGCAATAACTTCAAATTTAAGCATTAATATAGATAAATTTAAGTCTTAGGATAAAATTCATCTTTGAATCCAAAGTACAAGATGGATGGAATTAATAATTGCTTGTAATTTGTGGTGTGAAGTTAGAGATGTAATTAACAAGAAAAAAAAACAAAAATAAAAACAAAGAATAAATACAAAACAAGTGAAAAAAAAATTCAAACAATTATATACTCCAAAAACTAGTTTCAATCTTTACAATCGATTTTTATTCAATAAAAAATATATTTAAAAGTAATTTTTAGATAGGAAATTTTTTACATTTTTAATGATATAAAAATATATTTAAATCCAAATTATAATGAATAAATTATAAAGATTCAAAGATAGGAATTAATAAATAAAAATAATTAAATCAACATGTTTTATGTTAAAAATAACTTCTTGAAGAGATTAAGAATTTGAGCTTCATCTATCAAGGACATAAATCTCAAAAAAAAAAAATCTTAGTATATTCTTGTGTTACTTGAAAAGACTAAGAAATCACTCAAAGATGATAAAAAATTGAATTAGAATAGCTATTGCCAAAGACAAGAAGATTAAAAAGGCTTGTAATAAGACTAAAGTTTAGAAAGGTACGTCCATATATACTATCCAATTAAGAGCTACATGAAAATGTTCTATAGGACCTCTAAGATGTGTTGACTTTGCAAGACCCATGTATTAACTTGCAAGGCAAGTTTTCTATATGTGTGCAACATAGTTAGTTTGTTCCACAAGCTACCAATATGTGTAATATGTGGCTAACTTTAGACTAAATTTCTAATCTATAAATCAATTAGAAACAAGTATAAAGTAAAAATTGTGTCTATGAAGATTCTAAAAGCTTTTCTAAAAGATATTATGAAATTAATTTAATTTTACCTATTTCTACCTAATTATATAGGTAATTATTAGAATAAATACATATGTTTGTGACACTATCTTCCTTTCTAGAAACAAGTTTCATGAGGAACAGTCATCATCTTTTTTGGATCGTGTTTTTCTTCATCTTGGTTTTGATAGATGTCGTGAATGAAAAACCTCAACTTTCTTTTCTATATTTGCCAGATTTTTTGCTAGCTCCCATGTGCATTCACCAATATCATATCCTTGCAAAAGAACAAGATTTTTTAATCTATTTTAGCACCACCTTGAATTTAAAACTTCTTCTACCTCAAACTCTTGATTATTATCGACTTTTATAGAAGAAGGTGGCATTTGTGTTCTTTCCAAGGTATTTATTATTTTATATGGTCCAAAAAAAAATACACAAAATATATGATGGATCTTCATAGATTTTGGTAGATATAATCAATAAATAACAAGATTGATTTGTTTACAAATAGAAAAAGGTTCAAGTCTATAATAGTCTAGCTTGTCACAAAGACAAGTAGTCTTAATATTGCAATGAAGTAACTATATTTTATCACCCACATTGAATTGTGGTTGTTCCTTATGATAAGCATCTGCATTGTTCTTTTATTGTTCTTGAGCTTCTTTTAACTGTGCCTTTATTGTTGCATGTAGCTCTAACAAATGATTTGTTGAATCTTTTGCTATAAGATTATCAATTTTAAAAAAAATCAAAAGTATCAAATTATGGATGATAACCATAATTGGCAAAGAAAGGTATTTGTTGAATAGAAGAATATATCAAATTATTATATACAAACTCTATCAATGGCAAAAGAATTGTCTAATCATCTTATTGATAATTGATAGTATACCTCAAATATTGCTTTAAAACTTGATTCATCCATTCTATTTATCCATTAATTTGAGGATGAAAAGTAAAAAAAAAAAAAAAAAAAAAAACTTTATATCTATCTAAAGAATCTTGAAAATAATTCTCTAAAATTTTAATACAAATTGAGTTTTTTTTTTCTAATATAATATCTTTGAGTAATCCATGGTAGTAATAGATATTATAAAAAAAAGCTTAGCCATTTCTTTACTTATGATAGATTTTGCATCTGGTACGAAATGTAATATCTTAGTAGAACAATCTACTATCACAAACATATAATTACATAAATCTAAGATTGAAAGTTCCATGATAACATCCATAAATTTTTCAAACTTTAAGACAACCATTTTTTGTTGATTAAAAGCTATATTTTATTCTTCTAATATAATATAAAAACATCTAGAAAGTGCATCTCAAAAACCTTATTATTTACTAGGTCAATATATGATCTTAAAATCAAATCTTGATAATGACATATTCTAACAAACTTGGTAATAATTAAACATCCATGTTGACATGAAGTACTAAAGGTTCTTCTAATCTATATACATAGTAATTGGACTAGTAGTGACTTCAAGATAATAGTTCTATTTTTGAAAAAAATCCACAATTATAAGAAGTTCTTTATTGTAGATTTCATAGTTGATCTCTATTGCTAAAAATTTCTTTAAATAGAAATCTATTAAATAGAGTTTGTAATTTGCTCTTATTTATAAGAATACTTCACCTAAGGCAAAGCTTCATGCATTTATTTCTATGAAAAATGCTTTAGAAAAGTCAACACAATATAAGATTGGTACAAAAGTAATTTTTTTTTTCAAAGTATCAAACAATTTTTTGATTTTTTTATCCTACTCAAGTTTGTCTTTATAAGTCAAATGTATAAGTGGGGTAGAAATTTGAAAATAATTCTTGATAAAGATTTGGTAGTAATTGACAAAGTATAGAAAGCATTGCACATTTCTTTTTGTATTTAAAATCTTCTAATCTATAATAGTCTTGACCTTCTTTGGATCTATCATTAGTCCTTTAATAGAAATAATATATCTTAGAAATTCAACTTAAGAATATAAAATATCTACTTTTTTATCTTAGCATATAATCTTGTATTTCTAAGTTTTTGAAATCCATAATGAATATGAAATTCATGTATTTTTGTATTCTTAGAATAGATTAGAATGTTGTTCAAATATCAAATAATAAAATTATCAAAAAACTCAAAAAAAATATCATTCATTAGATGTTGAAAAGGTGCTAATGCATTTGTGAGTTCAAAAGGCATGACATTATATTTGAAATGTCTATACCTAATTTAAAAAGAAGACTTCCATTCATCTCCTTCTTTGATGTAGACCAAGTTACATGCTCCTTGTAGATTTATTTTTGTATAGATATTTGCTTGATTGAATTAATTAAGA